ATTATTGCAAAAGGTCTGGAAGGAGGGAAAGGTGCCTACTGACTGGAGGAAAGGTTACCTCGTGAAACTAACAAAGAAGAGCGACTTAGGCCTCACTCTGCAAGAACTGGCGAGGAATCATGCTCCTGTCGACGCCAAGTAAAATCCTGAGTCGCATCATCCTGGAGAGAATAAACGACGCACTGGATACAGAACTCCGCCAACCAGAACAAGCTGGGCTCAGGAAAGGCAAATCATGCTCTGACCAAATTGCAACTCTATGCATCATCATTACAGAACAAAGCATGGGATGGCAATCAAACCTATACCTCAACTTCCTTCATAGACTTTGAGAAGGCCTTCGACAGCGCAGCGTTGACCACGAAGTAATTTGGAAACTACTCGAGTACTACGGCGTACCCCAAATATTCATCAACCTTATTCAGCAGCTGTACGACAACGGCACATGTCAAGTGATCCACAACGGAAAACTCAGCGAGGCCTTTGGAGTAAACACAGGAGTCAGACAAGGGTGCTTATTATCGCCAATGATATTCCTAATTGTGGTGGACTGGATTATGCGTCGTCAGACAGTGGGAAACGAGAAGACACGGATATCCTGGTCTGACGTGAAGAACCCAGAAGACGTGGATTTCGCGCGTGGATGATTTATGTTTGATGTCACACGAAATCGAAGACTTACAAGCGAAAACCGACAAACTGGTTGAAGAAGCAGCAAAGACAGGACTCCAGGTGAACATAGAAAAAACGGGGGTTATGAAAATAACCAAACAACAACAACAGCAGCAGCAACATCCAGCGCCAATCACCATCAACGGGAGGGATTCAAAAGAGGTTACTTCAATCACTTATCTAGCTAGGGAGCATTGTCTCAACTACAGGAGGAACGGACTAAGATGTCAAATCGAGCGAGAATCGGGAAGGCGAGAAACACATTCATCAACCTGAAACCAATCTGGAGATCTTCGTCACTCAGCAACACTCAACAACAAAATTCGCGTTTTCAAAACAAACGTCAAGTCAGCCAGTTCTTCTATACGGATCAGAAACTTGGCGGGTCACAAAGAATATTTCAAACAGCCTGTTGAAGAACTTTACCAACAACTGTCTTCGTTCTATACTGAAGATCAGATGGCTGGAAAGAACAAGAGCCAGCAAGAAACTATGGGAACAAACAAACAAAACAATAACCAATCGCCCAGCAAGTATGCAGGAGAAAGTGGAGATGGATTGGACAGTCGCTGAGGAGGCCACTTGCTGGGTGACACCGCGCATCAGGCCATCGCCCGAGTGGAACCCGAAAGGGCGGCGACTGGGACGTCCCAGTGTGACATGGGGGAGATCGTGCCCAGAGGAATTGAAACAGTATGGATTAACATGGACGCAGGTGAAAAGTACAGCAGAAGATAAAAGCAAGTGGAGACGTGTAGTTGAAGCCCTATGTTCCACTAGGAACCCAAGGGAACCATAATAATAATGACATAGGTGGAGACTAGGATTGTGTGATGACAAAACACAAGGTACAACATGTTGTCACCACGTGGAGATTTCTGGACGTGTAGTTGCCATCCATAATAATCGATGGTAGCAAGTAATTCGTCGAAGCGTTGGGGGCCGGAACTACCCAACCAGCTGACGTCTGCAAGATTGAAATCTCCTCCAATTATTTTGTAATTAGTACTAAACGAGGAGGCGTGTGCAAACAATTTAGCTAATAACGCATCAGTTTCTTTGCTTGAGAATGGTGCTCGATAAACACAGTCTCTGAGAAATTTGTACTTATCTCCATGCAAGACGATCCAGAGGGAACCAGGTACCTCGTTCACTATTTCATTTTCCATCTTACTGACTACGAATGAGTTAGGTATATATATATATGTATATATATATATATATATATCACAATCTCGAAGACTCGCAGGTAAAAACCACCGAGTTAGAAGAAAAGGACGTCAGAAGAGACTGGAACTCAAGTGAACATGGAGGTGATGAAGATGCCCGACAACCGACAACAACAACAGCAACGGAAATAACAAGCAGTCATCACTATCAACGCGGGAAACGTGAACGGGACTACTTCCTCATTTATGTAGTCGCCGCCGTTTCCACTACAGACATACACCACAAATGAGAACGTTAAAACCAGAATCGAAAAGATGAGACAGACAGACCTCCATCACTCTTAAATCAGTTTGCAAATCTTATACACTCCACAGCATACAAAACAGCAATTGGAATTTTAACGACACTATTAAGTAGTCAGTCAGTTCTTCTATATCGGTCAAAAACTCAGTGTGTGCGTCAGGAAAAGCGTTTCCACCAGCCCGCTGCAGACAACTATCAACAGGTGTCTTCGCCAGCTCTTCACGCAACATCACATGGCCAGCCAGTGTGAAGCATAAGTGAGAAAAAATTCCGGGAACGAACCAACCAAGAACCTATTGCACAACCGACAAATATTCCGAAGGAGATGGGTCGGACACACACTGAGGAGACCGTCGAATCAAAGCGTACGCCACACCACCGTTCTTGTGGTGGTGTGTCGACGAATGGGAAACGACGAGCTGCGCTTACGTCTGTCTGATGGTTACATGGAGGAGATCGTGTGGAGAGGAGATGTGACACTATGGAGAATCGCGATTCCAGCTGATGACAACTCAACAGAAGAGGATGGAACGCAAATGTTCAATTGGAGCCCTCTATTTTCCACTTGGAATCCAAGGGAATAATAATAATATAAAAATAATTTATTCCTATGTAGCTTCATCGCAAATTGTTTCCATTCACTTTTCCACCCTATTATTAGTAACGACTTAATGTGTGATGAACAAAGTTCACTTTAAGAAGTACACTGGTGTGAAACAGAAATCCATAGTCTCTCAGTAACCAACCATCCAAGGGAGCTTCTCTTCCACTCGTTCACTCTATCTATTATAAACCAAGTTTCCGCTTAACTTTCAATCAAAAGCCATTACATCTGAAGTGGTTTCAGCTACTTTTACCAACAACCTGTAGTAGCAGTAGCAGTAGTAGTGTGGCGTGTGCTACTGACAAGCCTCATCGGTAGTACATTAAGAAACGTCCATCGGAACAAAATTATGAAATAGCCGAGAGACAGATTTGACATCAAAACGAGAGAGAGAAAATGAACCAGTACTGAGCCAATGCATGGAAGACTCGAACACAAGACCGAAAACAACACGAAAGAGCCAGTAATAGCACAACACTGAACACCTGTACAGCAAAACCTGACGATTTTCATATAACGTGGTGTGCATAATTCCCCTATATGTGTATATATAATTCCTAATAAACACACCCTTACCAAGTCTCTTGCCTTCTACCGTTACATTTGGTCTCGCTTCCTGCTGCTTTCCAAAAAGCAAGTATAAGGAGCTTCTGGTGGCTCTTCCGTGCAGTCACCGTGTTCGTAGGCATCACCATCTGACAACGAAGGTCGTTGTGCTGAGGTCGGGTGAAGGCAGTTTGAGGCAGTGTCGAGTCGCCAGGTGATAAAGAAACCTGGAAGCTATTGGCTGAAAGACTGACTGTTGGCGGAGTTCCACGAACAGACAGCTGACAATGCAGCACTTCCATGACGCCAAGCTGGCACTCAACTCAGACCCATTCGTCTTCACGGTGAATTTGGACAATCTACTACTTCGCCCACTCCTCATATTGCTTGAAGACACTGTCTCAGTTATTCACTTACTTACAAATTCACCAACAGTCTTCCAAACTAATAATGATAACATAGATAAGAAAGAATATAAGGAATCTGTAGTTGTACCATGTTGGCAGGAGACATCTGACACCCTGCGCAACATTCCTAGTAAAGCGGGCATTACGGTGGCATTTAAATCCACAGATTCACTCACATACGTACGGCAATCTCTGTAGGTTGAAGGACTCTGTAAGTTGACCTAACCACACAAAATAATGTAATTTGCAAATCACCTTGCAATGACTGTGGACACGGAAACTACATACATCGTCGCTAGAAACATGTAGAGACTTGCTAAGCACCAGACAAGCATTCTGAATCTATCCTGCTGAGATTTCCTAGGTGATCACTTCACGTCAGCTGATGCAAGTCTCCAAATTAAGTGAAATATTCAACATACTCAACTCAATTATTCCGCCTCCTCCTAGCAAAACAATCACAACAAGTACTGCATAAAATTGCGCATTTCATTTACCAGCATAACAATCAAAAATCAACACTTGAGTAGGAGAAAAAATGTATATTGAAAAAAATACCGAATGCATAAGATACAACACAACAAAGATGTTTGTGTATTCGCAACCAGCATACACACACACACACAAATGTCAGCGCCTCCTTTTGCGTGAACTGCCACCAACACCTACAGCAGCAGTGACTGCTGCTGAATTAGTCGGTGTTTCAACCACAACATTATCTGATGAAGTTGTATGAATGTCAGACCAACGCACCGACTTTCTTGTTCGCTTTCGATTAGAAGTATCTAAATGGAAAAATCATAGATGAAAATAATTTGCATGCATCAACAGAGTATAGAAGGAAGATGCCTCAAATTACAATGGCGGCTTTTCGTCTCATCGGTATATCTAGTAAAAATAGTAACAATCGATTGTGAAGTAAACCTAAGTTGTCAGACTGAAGTCTTCTGCTGCACCTTGCACATTATTGCAAGTCGAGACTTTTCGCCTAAATCTGCATCATAGGTTTGTTGTGACTTCAATGAGACGATATTTCATGCTGTGATATGACCTCAAGATCCATCAAACTGTGATCCTCCTCAAAACATCCAACTACGGACATTACTGGGTCGGTCATACTCTTAGTTGCAATTAACACCCACTTAAGATTAAATAACCACACACACACACACACGCACACACAAGCACACCAGGAATGCATCTCATGACCACTTTTGTCGATCATAGTATCAATTACATACGAGAGAGAGACGACAGTGACTACTACTTTCCAAGCAAATGCAAAAACATCACAATATTCATAAGAAGTGTCTCTCTCCAGTATTCATGCATGATCAGTCCCTTAATTGATTTCATAGAGAGATCTAAATGCTGTTGTGACTTGTGCGAAGTCTTGCAAATATTCCAATCAAAACTGTCTCCTAGTCTACGAAATTCACCCAAGAGAATGATAACTCACATTCTTGAAAATTCACATCTTCCTAAGTTATATATATATATATATATCCCTTTAAGAATAGTTGGCGTTTTGTCACATAAATACCAAAAATATGACTGGAGCGTTAGTTATAATATTGGGCTGATAGCTTACCTACAACTGGAGATTTGGGTATAACTGTATCGCTCCGATGACCAACACGAGGAAACTTCAATTCTTTCAAGGAATCAAACTCCTCGGGTAGACTGAATTCCTTCGTTTTACCTTGAAACGGGTTTACTTCTGACTCATGCTTCACAGAAACGTTTCAATATTTTAAGAAATAGAAAGTACCAGTTCTTCCATATTGAACAGGGTATCCAGCTTCTTCCAAATAGCTTCAGGAGTGATTGGTTTGCGAAGAACTGAATTCAGATAATTGCACAAGCACATCATCTCGAAATGGCGAGATACCCCAACGGGTTTGTGCTTCATTAATCCTTGGAAGAGATGAATTTCCGACTCACAGGTCCATTCATATGAATCGGTCCTGTCAGCAGCCATGTGTATTTAATTCTAGGGCACTGAAAATCCAATAATCAAAATTAAAAGTATTAGAAGTAGGCGGATCGCAAGAGGCTAGCTTATATAAGAAATACTACAGAAATATTTCTCTCTTGGTGGTTGACCAGCTTATCAGGAAGCACACGAGTGAAACAATGAGGCCAAAATCATTATACGCAATACTATCACTGGTCAAAAATATCTTACACAGCCAGAAGAATCCGCCCTACACATAAATTACAGGGAGAATTTCTGATTCCCTGAAAGATGCTAAAAGACAATGGCCACATTCCGAAATCCACTAGTAGGTAGGGAAGATGCAGTTCACTGGTCTAAACACTCAGTCTGCAGTCACTGGGTCCCGGCTTTCAGTCCCGATCCACCCACTTCAGCCTAAATAACTGGGTATTACCACTAGCCTTTACATAGTACGTGTACTTCACAGCCCAATACTGCATATTTGAGTGGTAACTAACAAGCGATAGCAGTTAGTTATATTAGGAGAACAGAAAGTAGGGCGCACCTTCAATTTTCTCAACGCGTAGCATAAATACTATTGTTGTGTTGCTCTATTTTGACCAAACTAGTGTACACGTATACCCCAGTACTTCTTCGCGTTTATAATTGTGTCCTAACGTTGTGATTACTCGACATCCAAAACGTACATCAAAAGACACTTGCGAAGGAATACGATCGTGTATTACCGCAGTAGTCAAAATTCAAAAATTGTGCGAGTACGAAGGTATCAATTGTTAACACGCAATCTTTAGAGTGATAAACAATTCAAAGTCCAATTACAAAGTGAAAGTATACTACGATGATGAGTAATAAAATGGATCACTGCACTATGTCTCAGAGGAACAGATGTTTTCAATAGTACCATTGCCAGGCATCTCATCGATACAAGGTATGAGGTAGCTACCATGAAGTCCAATATCGCTTTTACTAGCTAGTATAAACCAATTTGATTTCTTTGTGCTCGCCTCTTGATTGTGAGGTAGAGGTTCCTGATCTTCGGTAAACTTCTGCGTAGCTCGTGCCTCCACTCTACTGCCGTAGCTTTGGTTGACTCCGAATGAATAGTGCAGGGATTAATTACATGTGGTTTGTAGTATGAGGTGTGTTAAGACTGTTACTATTCTGGATGGAGTTGATCCTTTCACCAGTTGGCCCTTCGGTATCGTCGTCAATAGAAAAGAGATAATAATAATAGATATAATTAGTGAAGGTATTCAGACTAACAGACAGAAAACGAATAAGAAAGCGTAACAACAGTCAGTCAACCGGTATATATATATATATCTACCAGTAATAATGATAATAATAACAGGTGTAGTTAAAGCTGTCAGGAGAGTAAGACTGAAGAGAATGTAAAGAAGTAAAACGACCAGTTTATTTGTCTACCTTTGAATTGTGTATGCGATTTTAAGGGGATAGGCCATTTGGATGAAGTCCTTGTGTCGCTGCATGGTTGTCCAGCCTTCGCTTTAAGGCGTCCACAGACGGCGCCACAGCTAGATCTGTCGGTAAGGAATTCCAGGGACGGCAAACCCGCAGGGAAAAGAAGTGGGAGCGACACTTCTGATGACGAGCTGTACCAAGATGATCGGACTCGATTGACCTTGGTGCAAAATTGCCTTTCAGTTAGGCAGTCCTTCAAACCATGGCAGAAGTGGTTTACCTAAACCTACCTGGCTTATTTTGTGTAGGAGAAGGTCATGGTGAACAGTGTCAAATGCCTTCTCAAAGTCTAGAAAGATCACATGGACTGGGACATTCATATCCCAGCATGATGTCCAGTAGTCCCAGGCTGATAGTAAGCTAGTAACGCAGGATCTCCCTTTCCTGAAACCGTGTTGGGCTTCACGGAGTATTTTAGACCTATCCAGATATTCCCTGATGTGATCATCAATAATACTTTCCAGTACTTTCGATACCACTGGGAGTAGAGGTACTGGTCTATAACTGGTGGGATTTTGCCTATCCCCACCCTTGAAGATCGGAGAGAGGATGCTTCTTTTCTATTCCTTTGGCAGTTTCCCCGATTCCATGGAGTGTTGGAACAAGTCACATAAAGGCCTACAGGGAGCTTCGGCGCACTGTTTCAGAACAGATGGCCTGATGTCATCACAACTTGGGGACTTCCCAGGCATGAGTCGCTGCAGCTTTCTCAGTATTATTGCAGGGTTTATTTGGGGGGTGGCTATTTGGTCTTCCTCCTGTGAAATAGTCATGCCACCATTTTGGTCCGTAACGGTAATACCCACATTGCTGTTTACCTGTTTGGCAAAGGCTAAATTAGATATTTCAGCCATTTCCAGACCAGCGAGATATTGACCGTTTTGGTCTAAAAGTCACTTGAAATTATCAGTGGACAAAATAATTCAGCTCTCTCCGAGTTCACCGAAGCAATCGCTACCAAACAGTTGAATCCCAATTTATATTTTCAGAAAGGTACAGTCACCAGTCTTTCCTATACTCTCTTTTATTTGATTTCGTGATCCTCGGCTTTAACACGTATCTCTTCGCTATAATGTAATTTTATCTTCCTGTCATTTGCACGGTGCTAGTTAAACTCACCATTCACTCACTTATTAGTTAGTCACTGTATCCACCTTTCAGCTTTATCACACCAATGTAAGCCTATTTTTGCTAGAGTTTGAGCCTCCGAGCCTCGACCTCGGCCCCATTTGATGCAGTAAAACAATCTAACATGACATTATCTAGTTTTCGTATCAACGATCAAATTTCTTTCCTATTATAAAACTACGATTAGACTGCTGAGAAAAATGGAATAAATACATCGCTGACCTCAAAATAATACATCAATAAACTTTAACTCAAGGATGCTGTTCACAACAAAGTTATATGGGAGAATTGACTTCAAGCTTTATTTTTCGCAGATATTTGTATTACATTCATCTGATGTCTGGGTTTTTGTTAATGCGAAGACAATATTTCTATATCTCTTTATGTGTTACACAGACAGACTATTTTGCAGACTGTTCCGACTGACTCTAATGTCAGAAAGAACAACCAAACTGTAAATTCAACATACATCGAAACATGTGTAAATTATATAATAACTTATCCATGCCTGTACAATTGGTATGTTCCTGCATAAACAGGAATAAAAAATATATATATAACTGTTCTGCCACTGTTTGATCCAACAACGGCAAAACAGTTACGGATTATTCGCCTAAACTGGAACTGTGCGCTGGTTTATCTGCATGACTGGCAATAATTCAGCACCTTGCTCTTCTTCTACGCATTTTCAGAAGTAGCCTATCAGCCTTATTGTAGCCCTTCTAGTCCAGGTTCTGCTCCTCCGAAGATTACCATAATGCTGAATTAAATCTCACTAATTCTGAAATAATTCCAACGTTCTATAGTAAGTCAATTCTGAATGTGTTCTTAAATAGATTCTTTACTGGCACAGTCTAGAACACAGTTGTGGTTTTCAGCATGACTGATACTAATTCAACACCATGTTCTTTTTCTAGACATTTTCAGGAGTAGATCAGAACCTACTGGTTTTGCTTATCAGCTTTATTTAAACCCTTTCAGCTCATTTTCAGCACGGACTAGCTTTACTTCAGAACAAAGAGACTTGATTTAGCACATAGTGGCAATTTTTTGAGCTTAAATTTGGAAATTATATTTGGAAACTGTAGTACAATGTCACTGCGAATCCGTCAAGTTAGGTCCACTGGTAGCATCCTGTAAATAAGCAAAATAAAATATTAGCTGGTGAAACATTGTGCTCATCACATTCTCAGCATTTACATTTAGAAAAGTTTGCTTACATAACTGCCACTGTTATATCCCTTGCTATCCTTTCCATTTGCCTAGAAATAAAAACAATGTTGTGATTACTACATGTTGACTTAACGTTGACTTATGAAACGAAGCGGGCGTTTAACAATATCACCTGAATTCCTTTCTTCAGGTTACGCCTTGGACACGATCTTTCAAATTATGAAAGTACGATTTCGTGGCCTAATCCATTATGTCACCAACCTCTCTCGATGTCATCAGTTGGTCGCTACAGAAATAAGTACTTCATTAATGAACCTTACATCTCGTGACTGAATTTCGAACATCTGAATATTCCTAAATTCCTTGATTTAAATAGTGTAGTAAAATCATCACTAGAATCACAGTGGGGCGAAAGCGTATCCTATCTTCACTTCCCTTTTCAACTATATTCCCCGGTTTACCCGAGGCCAAGATTACATTGTCCGGAGAAAAAGAAGTAAATATGGCGTTCAGATAAGTTAACTTTCCTTTGCTAAACTGAACGCCCTTAGTACTAGCTTCTTTACGTACATGCCTGACACCTGTACTTTTCATTAAGTACACGTGCTCAACATAACGCTGAGCTGCCTGCTTAGCCACAGCATATCCACAGTGCACGGACTGTCTGATTGTGCGCATATAGGATTCTAACGTCCCATGCAGCTCGACGTCATCCACTATGTTTCAGAGAATGAATATAGTAAACAATATGTGTGGATGTGTTGGTCTTTGCGTTACAGCTATAGACTCTGCTCAAAATCCGAAGTGTAAGACAAAACGTTTAAGAAAATAAACTGGGAATATACAAAATCTTCAAAGGTCAGTTTTCAGTGAGATGTGGAGTGATTTATGTAGGTTAGAACTTGTATTGTCAGCCAGAGACATCGTATTATCCCAGATAAAATAATTTTCGGACTTACCTCCGGCTTTCAGGGAAAAGTCATGCGTTTCGGCACAATTTTTGCATTTAGATATCCGGAATTGCCCCAAAACTCTTCATTTTCAGATATATCGTCGGCAATTGCATGTTAAAAGGAAAAGAAATTCTGCTAATACAGTTTAACGTGCCAACACTTTTCCGGATATACGAGTGGTTAGCCAAAAGTGACCATAATGTCTGCAGTACTACAGAGGCATATATTGGTTATAGAAACTGGACCAAATTTGACTATTTGTGACGGTGAACAGACAATAAGACTTGAGAATAAGATGCTTTAAGTTTATTTGTGGTATTAGTTGAAGGTCACATATTTCTGACTGGTTTTCGAAGGCAGCATTTTCTTGTTTGATTTCATCCATGACATTTGCAAACTTTCATTAATTCATTAATTTACATGTTGGACTGCGTGTTCATTTTGTTGAATAGTACGTTCCAGTAGTTCCGAAAGGTGTTTCGTTTTGAAGTATGATTCTGACACTTTATGTTATCTCGGACATAGTTTTATCGTTCTGTGACGTTTACGTATCGCCCTCATTTTATTTATGTCACAGCCGTCACTGTCTAACGACGGATAAATAAAACATAACAGTCAAGCTTAGGCCAAATTACTTACTTACGTGAAAGGACTGTGATCTTTTACTCATGTCATAATACTGAGAACTGCACTTTAATTACCTCTCGTGATAGACGGTGTGAATGTTGAAGGAAGCCTTTTGAGGAAAGACTCAGCCGGAACACAGCCACACAGAATGTGCCCAGCTGTGTATATCCCAAAGTTAAATTTATGTAAGGAATGGTGTTTATGCACCTGTAAGTGCTACATAACGTCGGTCGACAAGAGACTGCGAACTTAATTCACAGTGCTCAGAATTTACACTCACGTAACATAAACAGGAGGCTCAAACTCTAGCAAAAATAGGCTTACATTGGTGTGATAAAGCTGAAAGGTGGATACAGTGACTAACTAATAAGTGAGTGAATGGTGAGTTTAACTAGCACCGTGCAAATGACAGGAAGATAAAATTACATTATAGCGAAGAGATACGTGTTAAAGCCGAGGATCACGAAATCAAATAAAAGAGAGTATAGGAAAGACTGGTGACTGTACCTTTCTGAAAATATAAATTGGGATTCAACTGTTTGGTAGCGATTGCTTCGGTGAACTCGGAGAGAGCTGAATTATTTTGTCCACTGATAATTTCAAGTGACTTTTAGACCAAAACGGTCAATATCTCACTAGTCTGGAAATGGCTGAAATATCTAATTTAGCCTTTGCCAAACAGGTAAACAGCAATGTGGGTATTACCGTTACGGACCAAAATGGTGGCATGACTATTTCACAGGAGGAAGACCAAATAGCCACCCCCCAAATAAACCCTGCAATAGTACTGAGAAAGCTGCAGCGACTCATGCCTGGGAAGTCCCCAAGTTGTGATGACATCAGGCCATCTGTTCTGAAACAGTGCGCCGAAGCTCTCTGTAGGCCTTTATGCGACTTGTTCCAACACTCCATGGAATCGGGGAAACTGCCAAAGGAATAGAAAAGAAGCATCCTTTCTCCGATCTTCAAGGGTGGGGATAGGCAAAATCCCACCAGTTATAGACCAGTACCTCTACTCCCAGTGGTATCGAAAGTACTGGAAAGTATTATTGATGATCACATCAGGGAATATCTGGATAGGTCTAAAATACTCCATGAAGCCCAACACGGTTTCAGGAAAGGGAGATCCTGCGTTACTAGCTTACTATCAGCCTGGGACTACTGGACATCATGCTGGGATATGAATGTCCCAGTCCATGTGATCTTTCTAGACTTTGAGAAGGCATTTGACACTGTTCACCATGACCTTCTCCTACACAAAATAAGCCAGGTAGGTTTAGGTAAACCACTTCTGTCATGGTTTGAAGGACTACCTAACTGAAAGGCAATTTTGCACCAAGGTCAATCGAGTCCGATCATCTTGGTACAGCTCGTCATCAGGAGTGTCGCTCCCACTTCTTTTCCCTGCGGGTTTGCCGTCCCTGGAATTCCTTACCGACAGATCTAGCTGTGGCACCGTCTGTGGACGCCTTAAAGCGAAGGCTGGACAACCATGCAGCGACACAAGGACTTCATCCAAATGGCCTATCCCCTTAAAATCGCATACACAATTCAAAGGTAGACAAATAAACTGGTCGTTTTACTTCTTTACATTCTCTTCAGTCTTACTCTCCTGACAGCTTTAACTACACCTGTTATTATTATCATTATTACTGGTAGATATATATATATATATACCGGTTGACTGACTGTTGTTACGCTTTCTTATTCGTTTTCTGTCTGTTAGTCTGAATACCTTCACTAATTATATCTATTATTATTATCTCTTTTCTATTGACGACGATACCGAAGGGCCAACTGGTGAAAGGATCAACTCCATCCAGAGTAGTAACAGTCTTAACACACCTCATACTACAAACCACATGTAATTAATCCCTGCACTATTCATTCGGAGTCAACCAAAGCTACGGCAGTAGAGTGGAGGCACGAGCTACGCAGAAGTTTACCGAAGATCAGGAACCTCTACCTCACAATCAAGAGGCGAGCACAAAGAAATCAAATTGGTTTATACTAGCTAGTAAAAGCGATATTGGACTTCATGGTAGCTACCTCATACCTTGTATCGATGAGATGCCTGGCAATGGTACTATTGAAAACATCTGTTCCTCTGAGACATAGTGCAGTGATCCATTTTATTACTCATCATCGTAGTATACTTTCACTTTGTAATTGGACTTTGAATTGTTTATCACTCTAAAGATTGCGTGTTAACAATTGATACCTTCGTACTCGCACAATTTTTGAATTTTGACTACTGCGGTAATACACGATCGTATTCCTTCGCAAGTGTCTTTTGATGTACGTTTTGGATGTCGAGTAATCACAACGTTAGGACACAATTATAAACGCGAAGAAGTACTGGGGTATACGTGTACACTAGTTTGGTCAAAATAGAGCAACACAACAATAGTATTTATGCTACGCGTTGAGAAAATTGAAGGTGCGCCCTACTTTCTGTTCTCCTAATATAACTAACTGCTATCGCTTGTTAGTTACCACTCAAATATGCAGTATTGGGCTGTGAAGTACACGTACTATGTAAAGGCTAGTGGTAATACCCAGTTATTTAGGCTGAAGTGGGTGGATCGGGACTGAAAGCCGGGACCCAGTGACTGCAGACTGAGTGTTTAGACCAGTGAACTGCATCTTCCCTACCTACTAGTGGATTTCGGAATGTGGCCATTGTCTTTTAGCATCTTTCAGGGAATCAGAAATTCTCCCTGTAATTTATGTGTAGGGCGGATTCTTCTGGCTGTGTAAGATATTTTTGACCAGTGATAGTATTGCGTATAATGATTTTGGCCTCATTGTTTCACTCGTGTGCTTCCTGATAAGCTGGTCAACCACCAAGAGAGAAATATTTCTGTAGTATTTCTTATATAAGCTAGCCTCTTGCGATCCGCCTACTTCTAATACTTTTAATTTGGATTATTGGATTTTCAGTGCAGTGCCCTAGAATTATATACACATGGCTGCTGACAATTCCGATTCATATGAATGGACCTGTGAGTCGGAAATTCATCTCTTCCATGGATTAATGAAGCACAAACCCGTTGGGGTATCTCGCCATTTCGAGATGATGTGCTTGTGCAATTATCTGAATTCAGTTCTTCGCAAACCAATCACTCCTGAAGCTATTTGGAAGAAGCTGGATACCCTGTTCAATATGGAAGAACTGGTAATTTCTATTTCTTAAAATATTGAAACGTTTCTGTGAAGCATGAGTCAGAAGTAAACCCGTTTCAAGGTAAAACGAAGGAATTCAGTCTACCCGAGGAGTTTGATTCCTTGAAAGAATTGAAGTTTCCTCGTGTTGGTCATCGGAGCGATACAGTTATACCCAAATCTCCAGTTGTAGGTAAGCTATCAGCCCAATATTACAACTAACACTCCAGTCATATTTTTGGTATTTATGTGACAAAACGCCAACTATTCTTAAAGGGATATATATATATAACTTAGGAAGATGTGAATTTTCAAGAATGTGAGTTATCATTCTCTTGGGTGAATTTCGTAGACTAGGAGACAGTTTTGATTGGAATATTTGCAAGACTTCGCACAAGTCACAACAGCATTTAGATCTCTCTATGAAATCAGTTAAGGGACTGATCATGCATGAATACTGGAGAGAGACACTTCTTATGAATATGATGTTGTGATGTTTTTGCATTTGCTTGGAAAGTAGCAGTCACTGTCGTCTCTCTCGTATGTAATTGATACTATGATCGACAAAAGCGGTCGTGAGATGCATTCCTGGTGTGTTTGTGTGTGTGTGTGTGTGGTTATTTAATCTTAAGTGTGTGTGAATTGCAACTAAAAGTATGACCGACCCACTAATGTCCGTAGTTGGATGTTTTGAGGAGGATCACAGTTTGATGGATCTTGAGGTCATATCACAGCATGAAATATCGTCTCATTGAAGTCACAACAAACCTATGATGCAGATTTAGGCGAAAAGTCTCGACTTGCAATAATGTGCAAGGTGCAGCAGAAGACTTCAGTCTGACAACTTAGGTTTACTTCACAATCGATTGTTACTATTTTTACTAGATATACCGATGAGACGAAAAGCCGCCATTGTAATTTGAGGCATCTTCCTTCTATACTCTGTTGATGCATGCAAATTATTTTCATCTATGATTTTTCCATTTAGATACTTCTAATCGAAAGCGAACAAGAAAGTCGGTGCGTTGGTCTGACATTCATACGACTTCATCAGATAATGTTGTGGTTGAAACACCGACTAATTCAGCAGCAGTGACTCCTGCTGTAGGTGTTGGTGGCAGTTCACGCAAAAGGAGGCGCTGACATTTGTGTGTGTGTGTATGCTGGTTGCGAATACACAAACATCTTTGTTGTGTTGTATCTTATGCATTCGGTATTTTTCAATATACATTTTTTCTCCTACTCAAGTGTTGATTTTTGATTGTTATGCTGGTAAATGAAATGCGCAATTTTATGCAGTACTTGTTGTGATTGTTTTGCTAGGAGGAGGCGGAATAATTGAGTTGAGTATGTTGAATATTTCACTTAATTTGGAGACTTGCATCAGCTGACGTGAAGTGATCACCTAGGAAATCTCAGCAGGATAGATTCAGAATGCTTGTCTGGTGCTTAGCAAGTCTCTACATCTTTCTAGCGACGATGTATGTAGTTACCGTGTCCACAGTCATTGCAAGGTGATTTGCAAATTACATTATCTTGTGTGGTTAGGTCAGCTTACAGAGTCCTTCAACCTACAGAACTTGCCGTACGTATCTGAGTGAGTCTGTGGATTTAAATGCCACCGTAATGCCCGCTTTACTAGGAATGTTGCGCAGGGTGTCAGATGTCTCCTGCCAACATGGTACAACTACAGATTCCTTATATTCTTTCTTATCTATGTTATCATTATTAGTTTGGAAGACTGTTGGTGAATTTGTAAGTAAGTGAATAACTGAGACAGTGTCTTTAAGCAATATGGGGAGTGGGCGAAGTAGTAGTAGTAGTAGCGTCGACAGGAGCATGATTCCTCGCCAGTTCTTGCAGAGTGAGGCCTAAGTCGCTCTTCTTTGGTAGTTTCATCAGGTAACCTTTCCTCCAGTCAGTGGGCACCTTTCCTTCTTTCCAGATCTTTTGCAATAATGGAGTCAGCATATCTGCTGTCGTCTCCGGGTCCGCTTTCAGTGCTTCAGGGGGTATTCCATCTGGTCCAGCTGCTTTTCCAGCTTCCAGAAGCTTGATTGCATTGGAGACTTCAGCTTTCGTTTGAGGATTGGTGTCAACTTGCAGTTGTGTACGCGCTGTTGTTGATATTTCTGGACGAGTTGCAGGTGGTGGTCGGTTCAAGAGTCCTTTGAAGTGGTCCGCCCATTGTTTAATCTGTCTTTCTTCCTTGGTAATTGGGTTCCCTTGGCTGTCTTTTATAGGTTTCGATTGTGTTGATCTCTTCCCGGATAGAGACTTGGTTATCTGATATAATGTCCTCAGGTCCCTTCTGCCTGCTGCCTTCTCAGCTTCAGTGGCTAGATTGTCGTAGATTGGTCTTTGTCCTTCCTAGCACCCTTCTTCACTTCTTTGTCCAATGCTGTGTAAGTTGAACTCAGCGTCTCCTTCTCTTGTGCGTCTTTGCATTGAATCATTTTCTCTTTCACCATTCTCCTCTCCTCTATTAGAAACATTTATTTCTCATCTATTAGCTTCCAAGTGTCCGTTGAGAGCCATTCCTTGTCTTGTCTCTTCTTTCTTCCTAAAACCGTTGAAAAGGTTTCGTTGAAAATCACCTTCAGAGAGTTCCAATGGTTTTCCACGCATGATTGCTCAGTGATGTCACGTAGTGTTTCCTGCTTTGCTGTGACAGTTGCAGTGAAAGTGTCCTTTGTGGTTGTGTCCTTCAGTTTTTGAGTGTTGAACTTGCATTGTGGCCTATCCCCAGTTATCCTCGAGGCTTTCAGCTTCACCTTGAAAGTTCCTTGTACTAGATAGTGGTGTGAACCCACATCTGCTCCTCTCCTCGATCTTATGTCCAGTGGGCTCCGTCTCCACTTCCTTGAGATTGAAATGGAGTCTGTGTGGTTGGTTTTTGGTGTGTCTATCTGGTGAAATCCATGTCGCCTTGTGTATATCCCTGTGTTTGAACACACTGCCACCAATCACCAAATCATTGAAGGCGCAGAAGTCTGAGAAGAGTTCACCGTTGTCGTTCATTTCACCGAGGACCTCGCGACCCATGGTGAGTTCTCTTCATGTATTGTCTCCTCCCAGCTTCTCATTCATCATATCACCCATCAGGATTCTGATATCGCCATTTGGTATGTTGTCCATCACTGCTTGAAGTTGTGTTTAGAAGGCCTCCTTCTTCTCTTGTTCTGAGACGTTTGTAGGCGCATAGCATTGCACGATTGTAACCTTCCTTCCTTTAGAGTTGAACCTAGCTGTCATTATCCTGGAGGAGATTGGTCCCAACTGCATGAGAGCTTTGGCTACTGTTGGTGACATCATGATGGCCACTCCCTCGGTGTGCTGGTGGTTGTCCTCTGTGTGACCGGAATAGATAACTGTCTCTCCAGTTGATAGTTGGCTCTCGCAGATTCCAAATACTTCTATTTTTATATCTTCTCATTTCTGGGGTTACCTGGGCAGCCTTTCCAGTTTCGTACATTGTAGGAATATTCCACGTCCCCATCCTTATTTTTGCTTTGATCGAAAGAAGGCAGGCACATCGGCTGACTGGCTTCCTGAAGGCTTTCACCAGCCTGCGTCATTTCACTTTCCGGATTCCAGCGGAAAATAAGGTTCAAATGTTGGTTTGTTGGGATTTGATTGATGACAGGATTTTCATCATGAGCGGACATTCGTTAGAGAATCATTGGAAAACCTGGGAGTACTGGACAGCTGTTTCGTCCTAGTTTTGCCAATTCACGACATAGCGCGACTCCTAGCCAATGTCTTCGGCGAGTATTTGTTCTCACACCCGACCTGCTGCACCCTACAAAAATAAGGTTATTTTTCATATTTTTAGGATTTTTAATATATTGGTGCGTTGAAGTTTCTGTAGCAATTTGGTTAAGTTTTGTGGGTGGGGTTGCTAGCACCACGCCCCAACCCTCCCTCTTTATCCAGGCCTGGGACCGGCTAGAAAACTAGCGAGCTAGAAATCTAGGCGAGGTTCCACCTATGTTGGTAACAGATTTTCCAGTAGTGACCATAAAATGGTACTCTGCTCTCTGCCTTTCCCACCACTAAATACAGGGAAGAAAAAACAACATTCAGGAAGCGTGATATACCGTAGTTACAAACCTACAAATATACTGGGGACTAGTCCAATAACACATTGGACTCTGTTAATGGGATGACTATTTTACTACTGACTCCCTGGAGGCTGTAGTGTCCCTCTATTTTACAGGAGTGTTACCCTTTGTCTAGATACTGTTGCTCCTGAGAAGGCAGTGAAATTGTGTAGGCACCAAGCTGAATACATTCCCAGGGCACACCGCAATAAATTAAGGAAGTTGATGAAACGGAACTATTCCACTAAGGATATATATGACTACTGCACCCAGTCCACGAGTCGCTTGAATGCATCGAGTGCCTACCTACGCTCTGTAAAGGACGTCGACGAAGAGTTAATTGCACTGAAAAGTATCTCCAAAGTTTATAACCTGACAACACTTGTTAAAAAGCGAATACGGTCAACGAGGGACATCGCCTATTTACTTCACGACAAAGTAATCTACAATAAGCCTGCCAGCATCTGTGAACTTCTCAGTGAGTGGTTTGCGAACTTTAGTTTAGAGGTGGTGCACATCCATGGTGAAACCGCACCCGTTACTAGCTCCCTGCTCAGGAGGATAGTGTTCACCAATCAATCATTTAGTAGGAAAAGCAGCTTAAACCTTCTACTAGCACGGGACGGGACTGGATGGCTTCGCTTCAACAAAATAAAAACAACAGGGTATTTAAAAAATGTTGTTTTATTATCTTTTCAAAGAAATTTTCCATAGAAACTGCACTTCATACAAAATGTCAAATTCATGTACACACGCATACTGGACGCAATCTAATCTCTTTTGAAAAAAACTAAATTAAATTAAATTACTAAATGCTTGTACCAGACCATTTGTTTTGATTTATCAGTTTTGCTTGAAACTCTGCACTGACTGGATGATAGCTGGCCAGTCGAAGATTGAGTTCAGCACGTCCAGACGAAAGACGTCTTACAGTCGCTGAGTAGTCAGCCAGTTCAGACAGAGGTGCTACAGCGTGGATACAGTGGAATCTTGCCACTCCACCATCATCTTCATTATCCGCATTGAAGTTTGCACTGTCCACTGACTTTATTTCTGCTCGTCTATTCGTGAGATCACCGAGAAACGTTGACAATTCAGACTCATAACCTACAACAATAATAAACAAATAAATTACAAAGCGAGAAAATGTATGCAAAAGTGCTCCTCACTACTTTATCACCACTATGAATTACAAGCGGCGTGACATCTGCACATTTGACTCTGTACCTAGGTCTCTTCTCTTGCTAAGTAAGCTTGGCGCAACACAGGCTGAGAGAGCTGGACAAATCAGGTGGTTGCATTCCTATTTTTTTTCTGATAGGAAGCAGCAGTACACACTGTCTACAATGGAAAGTCCTCCACTACCTACCTCACTTACTTTAGCTGGTGTTCCTCAAGGTGCTGTTCTTTCTCCTTTTCTGTTTTCTTTTCTTCTTTTCTTACATGACTTGCCCCACTCTGATGTAGCAAATTTTGTCAAGTATGCTGATGACTTACCTCTCTGTCTATTTCTATGCCTGTCAACTCCCAGTCAGATTGTTCCAAATTAAATAACTTTCTGTCGGAAATTAGTCAGTCAGTGGTCCTCTTCAAACGGTCTTAAGCTGAATCCGTCTAAATGTCAGGTAGTCAATTTCACTTTCAGACGAAAACGTGACCTACAACAACTAGCTAGCGCACATGACGCCACTGTCATTCACGGTTTAGAGGTTGAAATTACATCTAATGTCAAGTACCTTGGACTGAGTATATCCTCCGATCTTTCCTGGTCCTCTCACATCTTGCTAGTGACTAGAAAGATGTTTCGCTTAACGTTCTACGTTAGGAAGTTAAGGCAGTCGGGTATAAAGCAGTCTTTGCTTTCTCAGTTTGTCAATTCTTGTATTCTACCCATCCCCCCTCTTTACTGCTCCCCATTAATCTTTCCTGGACTACTTAAGAAAGATTTTGCTTTGCTACGTAGGGCACTAAAAGCTGTTAGTAGGGCAAGTGGGATTTCGTTAAACCAACTGTTCAACACCATTGTGGATAGACATTTAATGTCATGTAAGAAACTAGCGAATACTATATTGTCAGACCCCGAACACGCTCTCTATACACAGCTCTCTCCTTGCATTTCATCTGGTAGAACTAGAAGCAGCTATAGGAGGCCATATGCCAGGACTACCAAGTACAAAAACTCCACAATACCTTATCTGGCACAGATGTTATGTGATGAGAAATCCGTTAGGTATGACACGATCAACTTACTGCGGCACTCTAACAAATAGATCCCATTAGCTTTTGTTTTCCTTTCTGTGTTACTATTATATTGTTGCTCACATATTCCATTACACCCTTATTTTATATTTCATATCCTGTGGTGCATTTGTTAAAATGTGAATGCAATGTTGTTCTTTTTTATTTATTTACTTTTTCTTTTTGTTGTTGTTGCTTTTTATTTTTAAAATCTTATAAAATTTATGAGGTAATTAGATGCAATATTGTAATGAACGCTGAAAATTCCATACCTGTACCACAAATACTGTTTGGAATAAAGCTATTATTATTATTACTATTATAAAAAGCTTACAAAGAAGTAAAAGGCTGCTTTTTATAATACAGAAAAATAACTCAGTAAATTTGTTTTTTTTGTTTATTTTTGGTTGTTTTTTTCTGATAGTTTCGACACTTTACACGTAAAGCATACAGCGTATAATATCACACACTTTTCATTTGATTTTAAGTATGTGTTGTGGTGTTGTTGATTTCACAGTAAAACCATTGGACTGTTTCTGTCGGTCTAACCAAGCCAGTGAGTGAAGGATGCCAAATGGAAAGTCAATCACCACCAAAGAGGTGGAGCAAAGCAAAAAACACTGGGCTGAACACTTCAAAAGACTTCTCTAAATTGACCGCCATCTACAACGCGCCCAATAATACCAACAACGGAAGTCGGTCGGTCGGTCGGTTTTCGACATAGAACTTTGCACATATGTGCGGCAGTTCAAGTCGCCACAATCTATGTAGCACGCAAAGCAAGAGAAGAAAGTAGAAGAAATGCATAATATAGACAGTAAACAGAGGTGTGAGACAAAGGAATAGTAATAACGGAGAACAAAAGTTTAATTGGAAATCATAAGTCACAAGGAGTGGATGCATCTGCGCCACTGAGAACGATTTTGAGCCATGTCACCAATTGTTTCCAACCATTGGTTTTTACCATCCCGAGGGCCCCAGCCAGGAAGTCTACATCTTCCTACGTGGCTTAGATTAACTGTTGTGGATTTCATTGATTGGTGCCATGTTTTGGTTTGACCGCCGCTAGCTCTTTTCCAGCCTGACCCTATATCAGCTAACATTGCCCGTCGAGGAAGGCGATGACTAGGCATACGTAGCACATGTCCTAACCATCTCAGTCGAAGTAATTTCACAGTCTCGTCGATTGATTTCCCCGCCTTACCTAGCACTCGACGCCTAACCTCAATATTGCTCACCTTATTATACCACTTCACACAGGAGATAGAACGCAGACACCTATGATCGAAGACAGCTAATCTTTTCATGTCTTCTGCTCTCAATGGCCAGGTCTCACAGCCAGCCATAAAGGAGGACGGAGTGGACTGCTGAGCAGTACACACGCCCTTTGGTCGATAGTCGGATATCGCGTCTACGCCAGAGACGGCGAAAACTGGCGAATGCGAACCTAGCCCTCTGTATTCGTGCTGAAATTTCGTCGGAGATCAACCCGTTGGCACTGGCTGATGGTACTTCCCAAGTAAGTGAAGCGGTCAACGTGTTCTACCACTTCACTTCCTATTTCTAATCTAGGGGTCGATGAAGTCCAATCCTGCAGCATCATCTTACATTTTATAGGGGCGAATCGCATGCCAAACATGCGGAGATTGTTGCTCAGGGTGTTCAGTAGACTCTGCATTTTGTCAGAGTCCTCGCCTAGAAGGACTATATCGTCCGCATATTCTAAGTCAACGAGATTCTTCCCTGGTAGCAAGTCAATCCCTGAGTCGCTGAAGTGAGTTAGGGTTAAGTCCATTAGTACATCTATGATGAAATTGAATAGGAATGGGGATAATGGGCATCCTTGACGGACGCCACTAGTCGTCACCACTTCAGATGACAACTCGCCATAAGCCCTCACCTGGCTGCATGAGTACGAGTAGAGTGCCTTAATCAGTGCAATGTATATTCTTGGCATTCCCTTTACAGCCAAGCATCGCCAGAGAACCTCCCGGTCGACAGAATCGAATGCCGCCTTTAGGTCAAGAAATATAATGATTGTCGGACGCCGGTAGGAATGCCTATGTTCTAGAATCTGTCGAAGGGTGAAGATGTGATCAATACACCCTCTACCTGGCCTAAAACCTGCCTGGAAGTAGAACTACGCTGCTTATGAACATCAACCCCTCCCCGATAAGAAAAGAAGTCCTGAAGGTAATCAAGATGCTAAAAGCTAGAGCTGGAAAAGCAGCAGGACCAGATGGAATACCAGTAGAAACAATGAAAATGGACCCAGAAACAATAACGGACTTCATGACACCACTACTGCAGAAAGTGTGAAGAGAGGGTAAGATACCTGCGGGTTGGAAGAAAGGATACTTATTCAAACTAGCAAAGAAAGGAGACTTATTAAGTCAATGCAAGAACTGGCGCAGCATTACGCTCCTGTCCATCCCAAGCAAAATACTAAGCCGCATCATCCTGCAGAGAGAGTCAAACATGCCCTGGATGAAAAACTTCGATCGGAACAGGCTGGCTGGATTCAGGAGAAACAAGTCATGTATTGATCAAATCGCACATTGAACAAAGCTTGGAATGGCAGTCAGCCCTCTACCTCGCTCAACTTCACCAACTATGAAAAGGCCTTCGATAGTGCAGCGTCGATCGAGAGGTGATTTGGCAACTACTACGCTACTATTGGGTGCCACCGACAATTATACATCTCATCCAACAGTTAGCTGTACCACAATGCTGCACGCTAAGTAATCCACAACGGGAAACTTACGGAATCCTTCGAAGTGAGGACAGGAGTAAGACAAGGCTGGCTGGCTGCCTACTATCGCCAATGATTTTTTTGATTGCAGTAGACTGGATAATGCGACAAACAGCGACGGGCAGCGAGGAAACAGGCATAAAATGGACTCACACAAAAAACTTGGAGGGTCTGGACTTCGCCAATGATATATGTCTGATTTCCCACAAACTGGAAGATATGGAAGCGAAAAGCAACAAGTTAGCAGAAGAAGCATCAAAGATAGGAATTCACTTCAGGTGAACATAGAGAGGACAGAGGTGATGAAGATTCCTGGGCAACAACAACAGCAACAACAACTGACAACAATCAGCATAAATGGTAGGAACCTGAAAGAAACAACCTTCTTTACCTACCTGGGAAGCATCGTTTCAACTACAGGGCGACGGAACTGACGAGGATATCAAAGTAGCGAGGATCGAGGAAGCAAGACAAGCTTTCACTACTCTCAAGTCTGTGTGGAGGAGATGAACAGCACTCAGCATGAAAATGAAAATAAGATCCGGATTTTCAACTCCAATGTGAAGTCAGTCAGTGCTACTCACTATACGGATCAGAGACTTGGCCAGCGCCTCATGAAGAGCACCTCAAACTAAATACAGACCTTCATCAACAGCTGTCTTAAGGCAAAAAAAACTCAAGATCAGATGGCCGGCCGGCCAGAAAAGATCAGCAACAGAGATCTCTGACAATGAGCGAACCAACTCAGCAGGAACCGATTGTGAAACAAATAGGCAGGAAGAAATGGAGATGGACTGGCCATACACTTAGGAAACCATCAAGTGACATCACTAGACAAGCCCTTGAGTGGAACCCGAAAGGGAAGCGGCGAGTTGGTCGTCCAAGGGCGAGGGTGGGTGACTTGGAGGAGGTCATGTGAAGAGGAGATAAAAGCATGTGGACAGACTTGGAGCCAGGTGAAGACTCTAGCAGAGAACCGAACGCAACGGAGACGCACAGCTGAAGCCCTATGTTCCTCTAGGAATTAAAGGAAACAATCATAATAATAATAGTCAAAAAATTGATATTCAATTTGTGATATATTTATACAAAATCATCAAAATGTTACCTCTTTCAGCAGGCAGTTTAAGTTCCACATCCATCATTGGCTCCATAAGACTCCAATTCGGTATCTTGGCAACAGCGTCTCTCAGACTAGCAATACAGCATGTCTTCAATAAGGCCAATAAAGACGCTGAAGAAAGTTGTGCATAGGACAGCTTATCTAGACTGAGATCACTGAGATTATCATCAATGTGCTTTAAACCATCTGATGATACCTGTTCTGTACGACCGCATACAATCCGATGAATGTGAACGTCTACTCCAATAACAGGGGAGCGAAGAATCGGTCCGCTAACCTCTAAGGCTGATAAACATGCTTCCGTGATAGCGTGTCGTAAACGGACAATTTTGCTGTCACCATGATGGTCGAAGATTATCTTTAGATGGATAACAAAATATAATGAAAAGGGTTTAACGGGCAAATATATGAACAAGTCAAAGGAACACCTATGGGATCACCAATATCAGGTTTAATTGCAGAAGCAGTGATGCAAAGGCTCGAAAATATAATTCTACCAAAGATCAAACCCAAGATTTGGATACGCTACGTAGACGACACATTTGTAATTATCAAAAGAAACGGGTTAGATAAAACTCACAACCTGATAAACAACGTCTTCAATGACATCAAATTCACAAGAGAGAAGAGGGATCAGAGAACCAAATTCCATTTTTGGACGTCTTAGTCAAGCGAACAACCACAGGCGAATTAGAAACTCAAGTTTATAGGAAATCAACTCACACAGACCAAATCCTGAATTACAACAGCAACAATCCAATAGCACACAAGAGGAATTGCATACAAACACTATTCAAGAGAGCCAGGACTCATTGCAGCACTCCCACCTTAAGGAAAATTGAAGAAAGATATCTCATGGACGTCTTCCAAAAGAATCGATATCCACGGAATTTCATCAGAAGACATATACCCTCTAAGCCAACCTATCAAACCAAAAGCCCCCGAGGACAGCACAAAGAAAATCGCCCTACCATGTATAAAGGACATCTCAGAAATCACTACAAGACTCTTCAAACCTTTAGGAACTGACGTCGTACACAAACCAACAAAGTCACTTCACTCAATTCTATGTCAACCAAAAGACTTAACAGCGAAGGAAGATAAAACCAACATCATCTACAAAATAGATTGTATCAACTGCGAAAAACACTACATTGGCCAAAGTGGACGTCCCTGCTCTTTGTCTTCGTATCCACGAACATTAGCTAGCTGTCAAAAGACATGATATCCACTCCCTCATATCACTACATACAGACAACCACGGACATCAATTCGACTGGGACAATGTTCAAATATTAGACAGAGGAAACAACAAGAATGCTAGAGAATTTTGAGAAGCTTGGCATTCCAGTGAATCATCAATCAATAGAAACATCGAGATAGACAAAATTTATCAACCGATAAGAAAGAAACCTCACACACACAGAAAGGATCAAAGTTCAAGTCAATGAAACAATGAATTACAATATAAATAACCTAGAAGGTGTGAAAACACACAAAAACAACCAATCAAGTCCAAGGTCACCAGGAGAGATGATTAATAAACTCGTGGAGAAATCTGAAAGCTCACTTCAAATTGAAGTATGCGCTGAAGGAGGATGTCGCCTAGTAGGGCGATGAAAGCTTCGCAAATTAACTATCCAGCTCAGAGGACACAACCATATCAAGAGAACATATATATATATATATAATACTTGTCCGGTTTAAATTGAAATCCACAAACGATGCCACTCTGCCTCAGAACCGTATGGACACCAGTATCTCAACCAGGAGGAATGGATCCTAGAATCTATCCATCAGTGTCTGTAAGTATGGTATGTGCTTTGCACCGTCTAAATGCAAACTAGTACTGTTACAAGATTGACAGGAGCCTGTACCTGAACTCACTCTTGCTTGCAGGTGAACCGCTTGAAGTTGTTGATAAGTTTGTGTATCTGGGTAGTTGTGTGAATAATGAAGACTAGGGTGGCATACATCAACTTGAGCCGCCTCTGGCGCCGTCGCGACGTTAGCCACCTGGCTGTCAAAGGCTGTCGGGTATACAATGCTTCGGTAGGGGGCTGTCTGGCTCTACGCCAGGCCTGTGAAACCTGGCCTCTCCGAGTAGACTGAGGATGTGCGGTGACTCTGCGTGTTCGATCATCGCTGTCTCCGCAGCATTGCCTGCGTTCGATGGCATCATCGCGTGAGTCATTCTGAGGTTCGGTGGCGGCGTGTGTTTGAACACAGTGGAGATCACCATTCATCGAGTGTTGTCGTCTTCATCTAGAAACACCGGCTCCGGTGGCTTGGACATGTGCTGCGAATGTCATCCCAGAGGCTTCCGTGCAGTTCTCTGTTCGCTAACCCTGCAGGGGATGGAAAAGGCGGAGGGGTGGTCAGTCCATGACGTGGCGTCACGGGATGAAGGATATTTGTGCTAGATTAACATCGGTTGGTGTGTCACGACTCCCTGGTTGGGGTCCGCGAGATAGCTCGAATCGACTGCTCGAAACGTTATCGGATATGGCCAAGAATCACCAGTCATCAATGGCGAACGTGTTGCCATTTCCTTCTTTCTTCCCTTCCTGATGATAGTTAACGAATACTGTTTGAACTTGTTAAACATAACTGTTTTCCTTCCTGATGAAGTTCTTTATCCGTTCTCTTCTTATATTTTTACTTTTAATCTATGTTGTTTTATTATTATTGTGTGGCGCATCTTCTTGATGCCATATTGTACCAAGTTCTTTTCTTCTGTGTTTAAATAAATAAATAAATCTTTGCAGAATCGCCTGCTGGAATACTGAATTCCAATGTTAAATTCATATGCATAATTGATATAAGTATAAAACTTGGGCACTGTTGTGCTAGTAGAGTATAACTACTCCATAATGGATAAGAATTTATTTTGATAAATCACACAGTGGTGTTATACAGTAATATTAACTGATGGCCACACACTTCGAGCACAATTTATTATTGCCCCTCATAATCATCATATCAAGTCACTCACTCACTCACTCACACAACTTTCGTCTTCCTTCATTTATATACATGAGTGGAATTGATGATTAGACATTTGAATACAAATCAGTAATATGGGATAATGTACATTCAGAAATAATAATAATAATATGAGTGTTATTGATCAATTACAACAATCAGATGGGAAATAAGACGAGAGTTTCTTTTATAGGCATAATAAGTGAGTAACTTGTTAGAATGTTGTGATGTACGTGAATTGAATTGAAATAGAATACAATTTAAGATTATTTATTATCCTCCTCTGATTTCACTGACTGATTGACTGGTGGTAATAATATCTTCCATGCATATCTCTGGTATTTGCACTGAGTCATTTCTGTTGCATGTGTTGTGTTGGGTGTAGACACGATGAACCAGGCAGGATACAGTTATCAATTTCTCTCTATCTACACCTACCTACATTACTTGTTAGAATCTTAACCCTCTCCCACCGTGCTACTGTGTGGTTGTGTGTTAATGCATGCATGCAATACAATGTAGTGCTGAGCTTTTCCCTAAATTACTTATCTTCTCGGGTGGGGTCAACCATTCTTACCTTAGCTAAAATCTAATGTTCCGACAATCTGATTACTCCCAACCTACTAGTTTGACCTATGTAGTTGACCTAACTCACAGTCATTGCAAGGTATTTTGTAAATGATATCATTTTGTCTAATTGAGTCAACCGACAGTGTCCTTTAACTTAACCTACAGAGCTTGTCCTACCTGAGTGAGTTTTGTAGGTCACAATGCCACCACCCTAATTCCTGCTTTAGTGAGAATCCTGCGTAGGGAATGTTTCAGATGTCCTCTCCTTATATGGTATTACACTGGATGACTTATATTCTCTCTTATTTATGTGTTATCATTACTAGTTACACAATTATTTTTCTTATTTTTTGGTCTTTAGTTATCTTCCTAATGAATTTTATAGGACAGTTAGTTATTCAACACCAACGCTTCTTCTATCTGTTTTTTTTATTTCGTCGTTTAGGTCTTTTCTTGTGCTACTTAGTGCTACTACTCGGTTTGTTAGACACCTTATACCGTTAGACAGGAAAAAAAAGAAAAAAAGCTTGCAAATAAACAAACGAAGATAATGGTCTGCACACCAAATTTCCTAATATAATAAATAAAATAAACAAACATTGATGGCATTATTACTATTACTATTATTATTATTACTATATATTACCTGAGGCTTATGTAGTGGATGCAGAGGCTTCGGTTGAAGTATTATCTCAACTCCAACAGCTTTTTCACTACCATTTATAAGTCCAACTGTACAATTCCAACCAGAGGAATTCGTAGTAGTAGTAGTAGTAGCATCACCAGTTGATGGACACTCTTTGTAAGCGATCAGAAGAGGACCCATTCGAACACTGACTTTATATTCACGTTTCAATCTGGCAAGAATGACATCTAAGTGTAGATCACCCATACCAGAAATTGTCCACTGGCCAGTTTCTTCAGAGAATTTCACCTATATAGAAGAATTAACACCAATTAGAAAGTAAAACAAAGTGTTTAATTATTATTATTCTATATTATTATTATTGTTTCCTTTAATTCCTAGAGGAACATAGGGCTTCAGCTGCACACGTCCCCATTGCGTTCGGTTCTCTGCTGAAGTTTTCACCTGGCTCCAAGTCTGCTCACATGCTTTCATCTCCTCTTCACATGACCTCCTCCTCCAAGTCACCCACCCTCACAATGACGACCAACTCGCCGCTTCCCTTTCGGTCGGGTTCCACTCGACCAATGGCTTGTCTAGTGATGTCACTTGATGGTTTGTTTCCTCAGAGTATGGCCAATCCAATCCATCTCCATTTCTTCCTGCTTATTTGTTTCACAATCGGTTCCTACTGGGTTGGTTCGCTCATTGCCAGAGATCTCTGTTGCTGATATTTTCTGGCCGGCCGGCCATCTTATCTTGAGTGGTATTGAGCGAAGACAACTGTTGATGAAGGTCTGTAGTTTGTTTGAGATGCTCTTCATGACGCGCTGGCCAAGTCTCTGATCCGTATAGTGAGTAGCACTGACTGACTTCACATTGGAGTTGAAAATCCGGATCTTATTTTCATTTTCATGCTGAGTGCTGTTCATCTCCTCCACACAGACTTGAGAGTAGTGAAAGCTTGTCTTGCTTTTCCGATGATCCTTGCTTTGATATCCTCGTCAGTTGAGTCCGCCTGTAGTTGAAGCGATGCTTCCCAGGTAGGTAGGTAGGTGAAGGAGGTTGTTTCTTTCAGGTTCCTTCCATTTATGCTGATCATTGTCTGTTGTTGTTGTTCTTGTGCAGGAATCTTCATTTCCTCTGTTTTCTCTATGTTCACATGAAGTCCCTCTTATCTTTGATGCTTCTTCTGCCAACTTGTTTCTTTTCGCTTTCATATCTCTTCCAGCAGTTTGTGGGAAATCAGACATATATCATCGGCGAATTCCGGATCCTCTAAGTTTTTTTGTGTGAGTCCATTTTATGCCTGTTTCCTCATTGCCCGCTGTTTGTCGCACTATCCAGTGTACTGCAATCAGGAAAATCATTGGCGATAGTAGGCAGCCTTGTCTTACTCCTGTCCTCACTGTGAAGGATTCTGTAAGTTTCCCGTTGTGGATTACTTGGCATGCAGAATTCCCGTACAGCTGTTGGATGGGATGTATAATTGTCCGTGGCACCCCGTAGTAGCGAAGTAGTTTCCAAATCACCTCTCGATCGACGCTGTACTATCGAAGGCCTTTCCAAAGTCGATGAAGTTGAGATAGAGAGGTGTTAAAAATAAAAATGTGAGATGTAAGTGTAGAGAGAAAAACGCACTCGTGGAATCACTAATGTAGGATGAAATAATGAAAAAACTACTCTACACATGAACCTTCAATTCAATGGAGACATATATCTGCGGAAACACTGAAAAATCGACTGTCGCGCTCACTTAAGAAGACGACCTTCTTCGCAGCTGAACTACGACTAACCTTCTCCACAAAAAAACAAATGATTATCTGAACAGAACTGTAGGAGACGGTCACCGTTGTCGGTTCGCTGGCACGGAATTCCGTATGTGCCACCGACATTCTTCCCAGATTGACACAATTTCCCTAATTGAGCATTAAAGTCACCAGCTAAAACGACTATATCTGAGCGTTTAGCTTTTCGCAGCAAACTAGACAGCTTTTGGTAGAACTCATCCTTCGTTTCATCCGAACTGCACTCAGTGGGGGGCGTAGGCGGAGATTACGAAAAGGCATCGCCGAGTAGTGCAGTCCTTTCTCCTTTTCACTGATCTGTTGAGACGGACAGCACACATTCGGCTATCTACCGGGATCCAGTCAAGTAATGTCTTTTCTGCCCTAGTACTCAAAGCTATCCCAACACCAGCTAATCCTCGTGAGCTAGCTGTCGCATCTCCTGACACCCTCAAGGTGAATTTTGCAGATTCATCCTGTTGGCCAGGTGGGGTTAGGTGAATAACCACACTTGGGTCTTGTTTGCGTGTTTCTGAAACACAACATACATCAATGACTCGGGATGCCAGAGTCTTGGCTAGTGATGCTTGTTGTCCCATTTGGCAAGGTGTCCTAACATTAAATGCTCCTATATGAAATTGGTGGCGTGGCTTTAGGAGACTATCGATGGTGGCTTTTTGGCTTCCGTCGTTTTTAGTGGACACAGAGGAGTGAAGAGGAAGTGAAGAGCCATCACGTAGAGGAGTTGCATTAGAAGAAGGAAGGCAAGATAATAGAGATGAAGATGAAGACAAAGATGAGTGAGGATTAGAGAGGTTTCACGTGCACTTCGGATTGTGAGGGCGATTGTTACATCCCGGCTGCCCACACCGTGGAAGTTGGTTGCGTGACCGCAGAGCCCAGGGGACAACTGCACACACGGCCTGTTTATGTTTGTTCTTTTTCATTTGGTGTGTCTCAGTAGCATGCATATTTATCATTTCTGCCCTGTGACACAGCAGCAGGAAGCGCTGTCGTTGTTAATCCGGGCCCCAACCGATCCGGCATGATATTTTGTGATTTAATTTGAGTCATAGTATTGGGTTGGGTAACTGCTTTTTGTCTAACCGCTATCCAAACAACCTTTCTGGCATGGTAGAACCTCAAGCGACATAAGTCTCAGCCAGTATAGGTTGTTGGGTCATTACGGTGTTCAAGCCCGACCACCACGTCAAGGTAGCAGCTTTCGGTCGGCTTTGTTTTTGTTTTTTTCTCCACAAAACCTATGATTCATGTGAACGTGAAGGATAAGCTACCACTGCCGGCTGGCCTCATCAATGTATATGGATCACTTCACATGCTCATGTGGAGCCGGGTATGTCGGCCGTACCCAGCGTTTGCTTTCCAAACGTATCACCGAACACTTACCAACATGGTTTTACAAAGGAGAAAAACGATGCCCCCATGCAGCTCCATCTTAGAACATCTGATAGATTCCGGACACCAAGCTACACCCCAAACAAACTTCAAAGTCGTCTACAGAATACGAAGTAGTCTTCCTAAGGGTGTACGAATCATCAGACTTCTTCAAACTGCAGAAGCAATGGCGATTCACTTGCTTAGTCCTCAACTCTGCATACAGAAGAAGTTCGTTCACAATCACTTCACTTGCAATGGACGTAATCTATCTTATTACCCGAAACGTGAATTCTATCTAATCTTTTTTCTCTTCTGTCTCTTCATTATTGGTATTATTTTGTCTTCCCAATTGTAATATTTTTCATTTTCAACCTTCTTGTTCTCTACTCCCAGCCGATTTAATTTCTGCAGCTCACTACCACTGTTACTGACTTGACCAATGCTCAATTTCTAGTCATTTATGTTACGTCAGTCAACTTATTTGCTAAATTTTAGTTCTAATCTAAATGGCATTATTCTCTACCCCACTTCTACTTAGTCTCTCTCTACCTGTAATTACCTCTGTTGCTACCCTGATCTAAGTTGAAACATTTTAGTCAATTATATTACGTCGTCATCTAACTTACTAACTAACTCAATCTAACTTCATTTGCTGTCTGATTAACCTTGTTTCTATATTAGATCATTCTTGTATTACCTACCTGATTAATTATCTAAACTTGAAAAACCTCATGTACACACACACACACAAACAAATAATTATATATAAATGCGATTGTACATCTAGCTGTGTGAATGAATTCACCGTCGAAAAGAGGAGTCCCTTCGCTGAACGTCTTCTCTCTTTTTTTCATATGACTCAATGTGGGGATTTTTAAGCTACTCAAATAATGCATTGTCACTAAATAAACAGAATTGAATTAAGGTGTAAATGAACACGCCGGAACCCGCAAACCCAACCACCCCACCATCCCCTAAGGTAATCTATACCCCGCTCTCCTCTAAGTGAATCAAAGCAACATTCAAATACTTGATTGATTGAAGCCATGTTATGATGTCACCACTCTTCTTAACTCCTTTCTAACCTAATCCGGTGTCAGATAAAATCGTTCAACCAGTAAGGGTGATGGGGCTCGACAAGCATAACACATGTCCCAGCAATCACAACCTTATCCATTTTGCTTTCCCTCTTACCTACCTATGCTCTAAGCATAACCACATCAGTAATCACCACAAAGTATCATTTAACATCAACAGAAGTAATGAAGATTCCTGGACAAGAACAACAACAACAGACAACAATCAGCATAAATGGGAGGAACCTGAAAGAAACAGCCTCCTTTACCTACCCACCGACCTGGGAAGCATCGTTTCAACTACAGGCCGACGGAAATGACGAGGATATCAAAGCAAGAATCGGAAAAGCAAGACAAGCTTTCACTACTCTCAAGTCTGTGTGGAGGAGATGAACAGCACTCAGCATGAAAATGAAAATAAGATCCGGATTTTCAACTCCAATGTGAAGTCAGTCAGTGCTACTCACTATACGGATCAGAGACTTGGCCAGCGCGTCATGAAGAGCATCTCAAACAAACTACAGACCTTCATTAACAGTTGTCTTCGCTCAATACCACTCAAGATAAGATGGCCGGCCGGCCAGAAAATATCAGCAACAGAGATCTCTGGCAATGAGCGAACCAACACAGCAGGAACTGATTGTGAAACAAATAGGCAGGAAGAAATGGAGATGGATTGGCTATCAAGTGACATCACTAGACAAGCCATTGGTCGAGTGGAACCCGACCGAAAGGGAAGCGGCGAGTTGGTCGTCATTGTGAGGGTGGGTGACTTGGAGGAGGAGGTCATGTGAAGAGGAGATGAAAACGTGTGAGCAAACTTGGAGCCAGGTAAAAACCTCAGAGAACCGAACGCAATATAGACGTACGGCTGAAGCCCTATGTTCCTCTAGGAATTAAAGGAAACAATAATAATAATACATCACACACTGAAGTGATAATAAAAATTATTGGAAACTACGCAAAATCAACGTGTGCGACGACGGTGGCACAGAAAGCGGTAGTGGGAGGCTCGCCAACCACGCCTCCTCATGTGGTCCGGGGTTCGAACCCCGGCCACTCACTCTTTTACACCTCGCTCGCTAAACCAGTAGTAAGAGTAATAAGACTGGTGAAAGAGGGAAGGTTGGGCATGACACGCTAGACAGTTAGCAATACCCCTTATCATCCCGTAAAAAAAATAAACACCACTGTTACAGAAATTTCAAGCCTCTACTAGCTTGAAGGCGCCCGCGCTATGCGCTTCACTGGGAACTTGAAGGAATTTTTTTTTTAAAAAGAAAGAAAAGAAAGTAAATCAACAGTTACATTGAAAAGCTCAGCCAGAAAAAAAATAAATAACACACAACTTGCATGAAAGCTGGGATCTTCACGTTGCATACAAGTGAGAGCATGTTCAAGGGCGCGTATTTCCGATCGACTACCAGGTTCTATAGCTGCATACACAACAGGTTCGCATATTTCAAGTAATGACAGCGGCGATTCAATTCCACTGGCGTGGTTCACTTCTCCATCATCATCATCATCATCCGTAGGCTTATGGATCTCCACCATTTGTTTGGCCTTATTCGATATCTGCAACAATACAGGACCGAGAATGTCACCTGTATAGGTTGATTGAAGTCCACTCAACGCTACAATGCTACCAGGTCCAGCACTGTTGACCGCTTCTACAGAATCTCCACTTAGTTGGAATATATTCAATATCTGAAATATATTGAAAAGAAATTTTTGGAAAAAAAATAAATAAAATCAGTCTGTCTGTCTGTAACGACAGAAGGCAAGAGTCAGGCAACAGATCGTTTATTAAGGAAATCAACGCATATTTATATATTTTCATGTACATTATTATAGATTAGTTAAGCAAACAAACCCAGTCTTCTGATTGGTTGTTTCTCACTCAACGTTAGTTAATCTTTCATCTCTTTGTGACCGTTCTTCAAGGTCAGATCATCTATATATTAACTGCATCCGCCTACGCAAAGTCAATCTTTGTTCACATTTTCTCACGACAAATCTTGGGAACGTAAATATTGACGTAAATTACTGTCTACCAATTTGGCTAGTAGACAGCTCTCACCACATGTCTAGTTTCAGCATATAGAACCAACCACTTTGCACCGATGTACAGCAGCGCACTTCGAGTCGCTACACACTCCCCCCCCACCTCCTTGTAGCACACATGGAGCAAGAGAAGAGAGTTAAAATGAAGTGCAAAATAATAGAGACAGTGAACAGAGAGATATGAGGCATCTTGCTAGTGACTAGAAAGATGTCTCGCTTAACGTTCTACGACGTTAGGAAGTTAAGGCAGTCTGGTATAAAGCAGCCTTTGTTTTCTCAGTTTGTCAATTCCTGTATTCTACCCATCCCTCTTTACTGCTCCCCATTAATCTTTCCTGGATTACTTAAGAAAGACTTTGTTTTGCTGTGTAGGGCACTAAAAGCTGTTAGTAAGGGAAGTGGGATTTCGTTAAACCAACTGGTTAACACCATTGTGGATAGACATATCATGTCATGGAAGAAACTAGCGAATACTATATTGTCAGACCTCGACCATCCTCTTTATACGCAGCTCTCTCCGTACATTTCATCTGGTAGAACTAGAAGCAACTATAGGAGGCTATACGCCAGGACTACCAAGTACAAAAACTCCACAATACCCCTTATCTGGCACAGATGTTATGCGATGAGAAATCCGTTAGGGGTATGACACGATCAACTTACTGCGGCACTCTAACAAATAGTTCCCATTAGCTTTTGTTCTCCTTTCTTTGTTACTATTATATTGTTGTTCACATCTTCTATTACATAGTAATTTTATATTTCATATCCTGTGGTGCATTGTTTAAAATGTGAATGCAATGCTGTTCTTTTTTATTTCTTTTATTTATCTATTTTTCTTTTTGTTGTTGTTGCTTTTTATTTTTAAAATCTTATAAAATTTGTGAGGTAATTAGATGCAATATTGTAATGCACGCTGAAAATTCCATACCTGTACCACAAATACTGTTTGGAATAAAGCTATTATTATTATTATTAAAAAGAATAGTAATATCGAATAACAATAGAGTTTTATTGGAATTTACAATCTGTCACAAGGAGTTTGGATGCATCTGCACCAGCCAGTCAGCCACTGAGAACGATTTTGAGGAGTCATGTCACCAAATGTCTTCAGTCTTCAATGGCTTTTACCGTCATCCCGAAGACTCCAACCAGTCAGCAAGCCAGTCTACACCTTCCTACGTGGCTGGCTGGCTTAAACTAACTGTTGTGGATTTCATTGACTGGTGAAGCCATGTCTTGGTTTGACCAACACTGGCTAACTCTTTTCCAACCTGATCCATCCTTTGTCAGCTAACATTGCCTATTGTCGAGGAAGGCGATGGCTAGGTATGCATGCGTAACATATGCCCTAACCATCTCAATCGATCTAGTTTCACAGCCTCTTCGATTGATTTCCCCTACTTACCTTACCTAGCACTAGACCGACGCGCAACCTCAATATTACTCACACTATTAAACCTACCACTTAACACGGGAGATAGAAAGCAGGCACCTATGATCACAAACACAGCTAGCTAGCCGGCCTTTTCATGTTTCCCACTCTCAATGGCCAGGTCTCACAGCCAGCCATAAAGCAGGACGGAGCGGACTGATGAGCAGTACACCCGCCCTTTGGTCGATAGTCGAGTATCACATCTACTAAGCCAGAGACGGCGTAAACTGGCATATGCGAAACGAGCCCTCTGTATTCGTACTCAGCTGATATTTCGTCAGAGATCAACCCGTTGGCACTGGCTGATGGTACTTCTCAAATAAGTGAAGCGGTCAACGTGCTCCACCAACCACTTCACTCCCTATTTCTAAACTAGGAGTCAGTGTAGTCCAGTCAGTCCTGTAACATCATCTTACATTTGACAGCTGGAGCGAATCGCATGCCAAACATCATTCGTAGATTGCACCTCAAGGTATTCAGAAGACCATGTCTGCATTTTGACAGCGTCCTCGTGTGATCAGCAGTACACACACTCCCCTTTTTTAGACAGACACGAGGATAGCTCTAACCTAGAGATATAGAACACCTTCAGCCTTTTACATGTTCGCATACAAATTAGTCAGTTCACCGACGCCCACCCTCCCCGCCACCCTCTTTGAATTCGACAGTGACAAGTAGTAGTGTGGTGAAAGCTGTCTACTAGCCAATTGGTTGACAGTAATTGAGGTCAAGGTCAAGAAGAACAGGCGGATACAGTTAACTGACACAGCCACAAGAGATGCAAGGTTAACTTTGTGTGAGAAACAACCAATCAACACACTGTACTTTCTACTAACATTAATCTACAATAATGCACATCGAAATCTATAAATACGTGTTGATTTTTCGTAATAAACGATCTGTTGACTGGCCCTTGTCTTCTGTTGTTACATTTTGGTGTCGCTGCCTACCGACAAATGGAAAGCTTATGCCCTGCAGTTTCTGATGGAGACATATGGATCTTCGAGCAGGACTTTGAGGCTTCTTCGCAAATGAGTGGCGTTCAGGATCTGTCAGCGATGAGGCTGCTACTTGGGACGCTGCTGGGAGGTCGGGAGAAAGCAGCATATGGAAGTGTGAGGCGAAATACCTACGAATGTGCGACAGGGTCAGGCAAACAGTTTCCAAAGTGGGAAGGACCACATATGGTCATGTTGAGATGGGGTTACGCAGACACAATCGCAATGGTAAACACAGAGAAACAGGTGAACATCCCCAAGTGCCAAGATTCCAGACAGCAAAACAAAAGAGCGAAGCCCCAAGAACCAAGAAGACCGAACAAACTTCAGTCGGAAGTCTTTGACGGGGGGACGAGTGTGGTGAGAGATGGTTGCTAGCCAAATTGGTTGACAGTAATTGAGGTCAATGTTAGTCATGTGAAAACAAGGTCAAGATGGACAGGCGGATACAGTTAACATATAGATGAACTGACACAGCCACAAAGAGATGCAAGGTTAACTTTGTGTGAGAAACAACCAATCAACAGACTGTATTTTCTACTAACATTAACCTACAATAATGTACATTAAAATCTATAAATATGTGTTGATTTTCCTTAATATAAACGATCTGTTGCCTGACCCTTGTCTTCTGTTATTACAGTAGTAGTAGCGGTGGGTGCGTTATCCAGCAGACGGTAAGTTAAGCCTAAAGTCCAAAAAGGGAAATTACATCTGTGTACGAGAAAATGAAGATGAAGATTCCCGGGCAACACCACCAACAGCAACAACAACAACAGACAACAATCAGCCAGCATAAATGGGAGGAACCTGAAAGAAACAACCTCCTTCATCCACCCACCGACCTGCGAAGCATCGTTTCAACTACAGGCCGACGGAACTGACGAGGATATCAAAGCACCGAGGATCGGAAAACCAAGACAAGCTTTCACTACTCTCAAGTCTGTGTGGAGGTCAACAGCACTACTCAGCATGAAAATGAAAATAAGATCCGGATTTTCAACTCCAATGTGAAGTCAGTCAGTGCTACTATAAGGATCAGAGACTTGACCAACGTGTCATAAAGAGCATCTCAAACAAACTACAGACCTTCATTAACAGCTAGTTGTCTTCGCTCAATTCTACTCAAGATCAGATGGCCGGTCAGAAAAGATCAGCAACAGGGATCTCTGGGAGCGAACCAACCCAGCAGAAACCGATTGTGCAATAAATCTGCAGGAAGAAATGGAGATGGATTGGTCATACTCAGAGAAAACAAACCATCAAGTGACATCACTAGACAAGCCATCGCTCGAGTGGAACCCGGCCGAAAGGGAAGAGGCGAGTTGGCCGCCCGAGGGTGACTTGGAGGAGGTGATGTGAAGAGGAGATGAAAACGTGTGGGCAGACTTGGTTGAGGCCAGTTGAAGACTCTAGCAGAGAACCGAACGCAATGGAGACGCACGGCTGAAGCCCTATGTTCCTCTAGGAATTAAAGGATACAATAATAATAATAATAATAATGAAAAAATGGATACTCACTTTCTCAGATGATACATATCCACTTTTATATCGGCTCCAGTTGGTTATTTGACAACCAGGCGTAATCGATCCCGAATAGACACGTACCAGAGTAAGTGGACCACGATGAGGATCAAAGCAGATCTTGAATACAAGCATCAGGGGGAATTTCGACGACAGAATATTCAAATGATTGTCTAAGCTATGTGATGCGTTAATGAGTTCATTGCAATTTGGCAGATTGGATTTACATGCTTCATAAACTTTCAGAACAGATGCTGGTAAATTGCACCGGCTAGGATCTGGAAAATGGTCAACAATGAAGTCCAACAGAGGTTGAATGCCGATATTGCTTCGACTACTTCCAATTAGAACAGGTATAATACGATAGGAACGAACCGCCTGAAACACACACAAGCACACACACACACACACAAAATTTCATCAAAAAGTGTGTTTAAAGTCGAATCAAAACATCAACAAGAAACCATCATCATCAAAGAACACAAGAAAATTCATCCTACCATATATAAAAGCGAAAATATCTCTGAAATAACAGCTAGAATATTGAAACCTTTTGATATAGATATAGCACACAAGCCTCCAAAGTCTCAGGATGGTCGGGGGTGGGTGCCTTGCGCTGCGGGTTGGCCACCCCTCCACACACCTCTTGAAATGCTCCCATATGACCGGGCGTCTTACATACCCTCTCCTGAGGAAGTCCTACTCACTGCCTTCATGTGGCGGAGGTGTTTTCCACCAAAGTGAGAGGGCGAAAGCGGATGCCCGGCGCTCTTCACCGGGTTGACTGTCCATTGGATGACAGTCTAGGGGAGATGGATAAACCCTGATTCCAAACCTCCAACGACTGGCGTATGAAGCTCACTGGAGCTCACTGGCAGACGTATGGACAAAGGGCTTGTTGGATTTCCTGGATGTCTGGCCCCATTCAAAAAGGTGTATGAACCGAACTCCGGTCACCGGCTGCCAATGGATAGTGGACTCCCTACTCCACTCCTACTGCCTTGTAGGTTACACTTGGTTGTGTGAAGGCTAGAGCTGCACTCTCAAACAAAAGGCCGAACGATCCTGGGGACATCACTCGTACCAAATTCCCATGAAACTCCACGAACTCTCTTACAAACGACTCTCACCATGCTACGGCGCTCCCGGTAAGCGACGCGCCCTGTGCTCACCCGGTGGAATTCCAGTACTGGTCCAACAACATCGCCTTCGGTGGTATGGCCATGTTCTGCACCGACCAGATGACGATCTGGTCAAATCAGTTCTAAATCGCTCGCCATTACTATCTTGGCGATGTCGCAGGGGTGGACAGCTGAAAACATGGCTTGGTACAGTCACGGCTGATATGGAGTGCCTGGGGCTACAAACCGTCTACGGACTCCGTCTGTGGAACAAGAATTGGATAACCCTGTCGCAAAACCTTGCATCAGATCACCGCGCCTGGGCAGCGATGATTCGAGATGTTCATGAAGCCGGCTCATCCTCCCGTAGGAGATAGCCGAAGTAAAGTAAGTAAAGCACACAAGCCAGTAAAATCGCTTAATTCGATATTATGCAAACCGAAAGATCCAACAGAAAAAGGAGATAAAATTATATGAACTGTAACAAGCATTACATCGGCCAAAGTGGGCGTCCCCTTCAAATCAGAATCCAAGAACACAAATCAGCGGTGAAAAGACATGATATGTATTCTTTAGTATCAATGCATATAGACAATTATGGTCATCAATTTGATAACTGGGATAATGTCAAAATCTTAGACAGAGGAAATACCACCAAAAGTGCAGTCAGGGAATTCCTAGAATCCTGATACTCAAACGAAAATGCAATTAACAAACACGTGCGTCGGTGGCACAGTGGTTAGGACTCTCGCCGACCATGCACATGGTCCGGGGTTCGAGCCTCTGCCGGCGCACACTCGATATCTATGGTATGCCTGAATTTGGGCAACCGATATCCATGCTGAAAATTCCACACTTGTACTGAAAATACGGTGTGGAATCAAGCTGTAAATCAAAAATAAAAAAATAAAAATAAAAAATAAATATACCAACAAATAAAAAGTAAATCAGGTGACCAGCAAGTTTAAAAACCAAGTCAATAGAAAATGGTGTCAATACATATGTAAAGATGGTTACCAGGAGACGCAATTATACCACTCATGAAGAAATTTAAATCATTTCACTTTATGCTAAATATGTGGCGCTGAAGGGGGATGTTGTCCAGAAGGACGACGAAAGCTTCGCAACTAAACCAACCAGCTCAGAGAACATTATTAATTATAGAAGAAATTTGTTTGTTCAGTGTCATTAAACCTACAATGGACCTGATCTGTCTTAAACCAAATACGTAGTTTCTGTTTCTTAATTGCATTATTTCTTTTTCTCCCACTCCTTACCTATTTAATCTCTAGCCTTTATTACCACTGGCTACTGACTTGACTGTCGTCTAATGGGAGACCTATTCAAAAAATGTCTTCATGTTCAAAAAAGTGGAATAGAGGGCCCATTCACTTTTTGAAGTTGTTTTTGTTACGAGGGTGGGGGGGGGGGCTACTAGCCTAATACTCAAACTTACACGAGTTTTCGGGTTTGTTGTCGACCATTAAACAATGCGAGGGAGGTGGTTAAGGAGTGTGTAGACAGCAGAGATGACAAAAAATGGAAAACCTCAATGATAAACTGCTTTTTACTGCGCCCCAGTACTCAGACAGTATATAAGAGACTTTTATGTAGTAGTGTTCTCTGAGCTAGCTAGCTGGATGGATGGTTTCATTTGCGAAGCTTTCATTGCCCCCTACTAGGCAACATCTTCCTTCAGCGCATACACACTTCAATTTGATTTGTTGAAGTGAGCTATTCGATTTTTTCTACCAGTTTATTAGTCAACCCCCCCCGCATGGTGACCTTGAACGTGATTGCTTGTTTTTTTTGTGTGTAATCACTCCTTCTAGGCTACTACTTGCTTTGGTACTGATTGTTGTTTCCTTGACCTGAAGTTTGATCCTTTGTGTGTGTGTGTGTGTGTGTGTGTGTGTAAGATTTCCTTCTTATCGATTCGTAAATTTTTTTATATGTCAATGTGTCTATTAACTGACCATTCACTGGAATGCCAGTTAGGCTTCTAAAGATTTCCTGCCACTCTTGGTGTTGTTTCCTCTGTCTGTCTAATATTTGAACGTTGGTTGTCCCAGTCGTGTTGATGTCCATGGTTTTCTGTATGCAGTGAGGCGCTATGAGTGAGGGAGTGCATTTCATGTCTTTTGACGGCTAGCTTATGTTCATGGATATGAAGACGAAGATTAGGGACATCCACTTTGGTATACGAGGCTGTAACTGAGGTTCCTCTGTAAAAATGGTGTATCCTTAGCTATAATAGGACTCTGTGTGACACCGAAAACGAATAGGCTGGACACTGGTGTATCATGGCGTGTCTTCGGATATAAGAAGACAAAGGCAGGAACTTTGAGCTTTCTGGAAGAAAACACCCCGGTTTAATGACAGAAAAGGTAAAGACAGACTTAAGAGTTGGTTGGATCAATGACGACTGTTCTTCGCAAAGTCATCTGTAGTGCTTTTAATAAATCAATAGAACAGCTACCTTAAGCTTGGGTGAGAAAATAGACTTGACTTAGGTCAAGCTAAAAGGAGGACATATTGAAAGTCAAAATAACAATGAAGATCAATCACTAAACCAAATAACAGAGGTAATAGTACATCTACCCTGGTTGGTATCAAAATAAAGTTTACTAACTTGATCATCGTTCTTCAGTGTGGGGTCAGTTTTCGTTGTCAAATTGGTCAGTTGGTAAGGATAACAAAACCAAGTGTAGATGACTGTTGGATTTGATCAGTGTGTAAAATAATAAAGGCAGTGTGTGTTTACATAATGAAATCGCTTACCACATTCATGTTGATTTTGTCATTTCATGGGGGAGGGAGATGTTGTAACCAGGTCAAACTCTGTTTTAGTCCATCATTCCTATTCAGTTCAGACAATTTGGATTCCACTTGATATGAAGTACTTCTGATGATATGAGACGTTCATTGTGATTTCTGAAATTTTTATGGATTATTTCAATATTGTCAAAATCAATTTTGTGGCCTGATTCTGTAGCGTAGCGTGTAGACGACCTATAGCTGATGATTTTTCAAGTTTTTCTAGTTCAACCGGATTTCTCGGTGGTCGAACAGATCCTCTACGGTGTTCATTTCTTCTGATTTTCATTTTTCTCTAGCGATGTTTGTCCGATGTATATCGCATCACATTCCAAGCAAGCATTTTATTTTATAGACACAATAAGATAGAGAATCTTTAGCGATTTGGTGTTTTATATGGACAAGTTTGTTTCGTTGTGTGTCTGATGTTCTGAAGAAAACTCAAATATCGAGCTGATTGAGTACTCCTCTGTTATCGTTTGACGTCTCTGCTCTATATGGAATGACGACTGTTGAGGTCCATGTTTTCGGAATGCGTTTTTTGGCCATACTTAATGTCTGTGTTGATTCTCTTGATGAAGTTCCTTGGGTAGTTGTTGTGCTTGAGGAGAGTTTCAGTAATGTTTGATATTTCTTGTTCTTTTCCTTTCTCGTCGGTTATCAGAGAGTGTGCTCGTCTAAGAAGACTTGAAAGAACTGAAATCTTTGCGCTGATGCGTTTTGATGATCTGAAGTGGAAATATTTATTGGAGTGGGTTTTCTTCCTGAATATGGATATACTAAAATGTCCGTTTTCCCTTCTCTTAACTAGGCAGCCAGTCTAGAAATGGTAGTTCACCGATGTCTGATTCTGCCTGATTCCGAAATGAACTGGATTCTGGGAGATAGATTGTTTATTTTCTCCAGGAACGAGCTGTATAGATCTCGTTTTAGTACTATAAAAGTATCATCTACATATCTTAACCATATTTTAGGAGTGAGTATGCTTGAAAAGATGTTATTTTCGAATTTATTCATGAAAAGGTCAGCGACTATTGGGGAGACTGGTGAACCCATAGCAACACCATTTGTCTGTCTATATAAACTCCCTTTAAATGTAAAATAATTACTTTCTAGACAGAATTTCAAGCTCTTAATTATTTCACTGGTGTCCAGTGGACATCTTTGTGATAGCGTTGTATCTGATTCTAGTAAACTGAAAATGATATCAAGACGTTCGGCATTTAGTCAGCTCGACATCAGAGTTTGCTTCAAAAAATCAGACACGCACACCGCAAAACAACCTTGTCCATGTAAAACACCAATTCCCTAAAGATTCTCTATCTACTAATTGTGTCTATAAAATAAAATGCTTGCTTGGAATGTGATGCGATATGCATCGGACAAACATCACCAGAGAGAAATCAAAATCAGAAAAAATGAACACCGTAGAGCCACCTCTGTTCGACCACCGAGAAGTAAATCCGGTTGAACTAGAAAAACTTGAAAAATCATCAGCCACAGCTTGTCTACAAGCTACAAAATCAGGCCACAAAATTGGTTCTGACAATATTGAAATAATCCATAAAAATTTCAGAAATCACAATGAACGTCTCATATCATCAGAAGCACTTCATATCAAGTGGAATCCAAATTGTCTGAATATGAATTATGGAGTAAAACAGAATTTGACCTGGTTACAACACCCCCAACCCCTCCCCCATGAAATGACAAAATCAACATGAATGTGGTAAGCAATTTCATTATGTAAACACACGTTGCTTTTGTATAATTTTACACACTGATCAAATCCAACAGTCATCTACACTTGGTTTTGTTATCTTTACCAACTGGCCAATTTGACAACGCAAAATGACCCCATACTGAAGAACGATGAACAAGTTAGTGAACTTTGTTTTGATATCAGTCAGGGCAGATGTACTATTACCTCTGTTATTTGGTTCAGTGATTGATCTTCATTGTTATTTTCACCTTGAATATGTCCTCCTTTTAACTTGACCTCAGTCAAGTCTATTTTCTCACCCACCTCTTAACTCTTTGTTATATATATATATATATATGCTGAGTGGATTTTGTAAATTCTTCTGGTTTAATAATACTACTTTGATAAAGCTGTTACCAGCAGCATTAAATAGCGAAACGTCAGCATTAAAAAATAAAGACAATATCGTTTTGTTTTTCTTTCATTCATTGGGAAATACAAGAAAACAACCTTTATTATAATAGAACAGCTACCTTAAGCTTGGATCAATTATGCACAAGATACCTCTGGAAGTATATTTCAAAACAAAGTGATATTGGAGTGAGAGCTGTCTACTAGCCAAATTGGTAGACAGTAATTTACGTCAATGTTGTTTACGTTCTCAATATTGGTCGTGAGAAAATATGAACAAAGACTGCTGACTCAACAACCAATCACAGCAGACTTTGCGTAGGCGGATACAGTTAACATATAGATGATCTGACCTTGAAGAAACAGTCACAAAGAGATGAATGATTAACTAACGTTCAGTGCGAAACAACCACCAATCAGAAGACTGTATTTGTTTACTTAAATTAATCTATAATAATGTACATGAAAATATATAAATATGCTTTGATTTCCTAAACAAACGATATGTTGCCTGGCACTTGCATTCTGTTGTTACATTTGGTGTCGCTGCCTACCGACAAATGGAGAGCCTGTGCCCTGCAGCTTTCGATGGAGACATATGGATCTTCGAGCAGGACTTTGAGGCTTCTTCGCAGTTGAGTGGCGTTCAAGATCTGTCAGCGATGAGGCTGCGTCTTGGGACGCTGCTGGGAGGTCGGGAGAAAGCAGCATATGATGAAAGTGTGAGGCGAAATACCTACGAATGTGCGACAGGGTCAGGTAAACAGTTTCCAAAGTGGGAAGGACCATATATGGTCATGTTGAGATGATGGGGTTACGCAAACACAATCGCAATGGTAAACACAGAGAAACAAGTGAACATCCGCAAGCGCCGAGATTCTAGACAGCAAGACAAAAGAGCAAAGCCTCATGAACCAAGAAGATCAAGCCGACTTCAGTCCAAACTATTTGACGGGGGGACTAGTGTGGTGAGAGCTGTCTACTAGCCAAATTGGTAGACAGTAATTTTCGTCAATGTTTACGTTCTCAAGATTGGTCGTGAGAAAATATGAACAAAGACTGCTGACTCAACAACCAATCACAGCAGACTTTGCGTAGGTAGATACAGTTAACATATAGATGATCTGACATTCAAGAAACAGTCACAAAGAGATGAAAGATTAACTAACGTTCAGTGAGAAACAACCACCAATCAGAAGACTGTGTTTATTTGCTTAACTAATCTATAATAATGTACATGATAATACATAAATATGCTTTGATTTCCTTAATAAACGATCTGTTGCCTAACTGGCCTTATCTTCTGTTGTTACAATTATTATTATTTTCGTGTAACAAAAATTGACAAAATTTACCTTCTTCAAACTCCTATGAACAATATCTGAAGGGATTAATAAATCTGGTCGATCAAGCTGTAAAAATTCATTGGCAAATTCTTCATCAACTTCAGCTAATTCAGACAATAATCGCATACGTGCAGCCAAAGCTTGCTGGATAACATCACTGGCTAGTTTATATTCAATAGGGGAATTAGATGAATTGGGCTTATGCAAGGAATGACAGCTGCTAGTTGTATTTATACCTTCAAGTAAATTAGCTGAGATGTATTCATCGTCTGGAGTATTGCATGAAATCCAGTTCTAAACAACAACAACAAGAAAGAAAAAATGTTATGAAGATTGACTGTGATATAGTGAGTACAGGCTAACTAAGTAATGGGTGTAGTAAAAACCATTAACAAACAGTTCGATATTGGACCATCTGGTGTAAACCGGCCGGCCACAAAGCCAGTCAGCCAACCAGCCAGCATTGAAGAATCCTTCTCTATCATCATCTACCGGGTGCCTAATAAATTGCCAAAATCATCATCGAAGCACCACATGAAGAAAATAAAAGACAGATTCAGCGAAGAAAATTTTCTTTATCGACGAAATCATCTTCAGAGGCTGTACAGTCGTATTTATACTTACAAAAATATATTGAGGTCTATTATTGAGTAGCATGGGGTGACACAATTGATATAATTACTCAGAAGTGGCTTTAGAAGTAAGAAAGAAATTAAAAGTTGTAAATTACGTGGTACTCAACGGCACAAACATAGAAATTTGATAAGGTTAAAATTGCTATTAAGTGAGAGAGAATAGAGGTGGTAGTTGAGTGTCAATTGAACAAGTGTGAAGAGGGTGTGCAAATATACAAAAGGAGCATATGAGAGTGATAACAGTGAATTAATTATTAAAGCAAAAGCAAACTAAAAGTAAAATTAAAAAAGGAAAAGGAAAAATCAAAATATATATTTTATTTACAAGGAACGATTAGTGAAGAGGTTAAGACCAAGGTAGAATAAGAGACTGGACAAACTTTTTCTGTATACAGAGTTCAGAGTTGTAATGATGAATTGCCAGAGCCTCCACCATACACAAAAGCCGAAACCTGACGCCCTTTGTACCATTTTTGTAAGTATAAATACGACTGTACAGCTTCTGAAGATGATTTCGTCGATAAAGAAAATTTTCTTCGCTGAATCTTTCTTTTATTTTCTTCATGACTCAATGGGTGATTTGAAGCACCACATGCTACAAACAGCAAAGACTATTGTCGTTCGCCTCAAATAACCAGTGCACTGTGTTCGAAAGAAGCAAGTCCAGTTCGTAATACTGCCCTTGCCTTCGGTAAAGACTACAAATTCATGAATTTGTAATATTATCTTCCCTAATTCAACTGACATTCAGTTTATTGTTACGTTGATGCTATTGAACTGTAATCCATTGATGTGATTATTATTATTATTGATTCGATGTTATTTAAACAGCAACACTAATTCATTCATTCATTCACTATAATGGATGGATATATAACTGTAGAGCCTGATGATGATGAAGGGGTTATCGAAAAGAGTATTTATTCTTTGTTCAGCATCCATGCATTCTTTTGAAAACAATTTTAATGGGCATTTTTAATCAGTTTAAAATATAAATACACACATAAATGATGGAATAACGAATGTTGAGCATAATAATAATAACAGCGTAAACTACGACAGCAGGTTGTCTTTACAAATATAATAATTATTAACTTAATATTCACTTCCTTATCCGATCACTCGTTTTTTTTCTAACCCCAGTAAAAGCTTGTTGAGTAAACGGTAGGACATGAGAAAACCGCCTTCTGCTGTTTTACACAGATGCTGGCTTCATGACTAGCTCACAAGCTTTCATTCCCACCCACCCCCCGCCCCGTACTTAAAAAGGAGCTCAGCTTTGTCAGTCTTGGACAACCAACAACACGTTGCCTTCCATGAAGGTTCGACTTGCTCAATCACCTCCTCTGAGTATGCGCGTCTAGTCGACACCCTTTTCCTTCTTTCTGCATATTTCCGGATTGAGTAATATATATTCCTGGTTGGTCACACATGCTAGACTTCCTTGCTGCTTATCTTCTCTGACCATCTGACCTCGGTAAATGAGGGAAAACAGCGCTGTTGATGAAAGTCTCCACAGTCTAGGCATACTTTGTATATGTGCATAACATTGATTTGGTAGACCACATACATAGTCTGAGTGTTCAACTTATTTCATACCATTATTATAATTGTTTCCTATAATTCCTAGAGGAACATAGGGCTTCAGCCATGCATCTCCATTGCGTTCGGTTCTCTGCTAGAGTCTTCACCTGGCTACAAGTCTGCCCACACGCCTTCATCTCCTCTTCACATCACCTCCTCCAAGTCACCCACCCCCGCACTGACGACCAACTCGCCGCTTCCCTTCCGGGTTCCACTCGACCAATGGCTTGTCTAATGATGTCACTCACTTGATGGTTTGTTTCCTCAGAGCATGACCAATCCATCTCCATTTCTTCCTGCCTATTTGTTTCACAATCGGTTCCTGCTGTGTTGGTTCGCTCCCAGAGATCCCTGTTGCTTATTTTTTTTCGCCAGCCATCTGATCTTGAGTATTGAGCGAAGACAACTAGCTGTTGATGAAGGTCTGTAGTTTGTTTGAGGTGCTCTTCATGACGCGCTGGCCAAGTCTCTGATCCGCATAGCAAGTAGCACTGACTGACTTCACATTGGAGTTGAAAATCCGGATCTTATTTTCACTTTCATGCTGAGTGCTGTTCATCTCCTCCACACAGACTTGAGAGCAGTGAAAGCTTGTGTCGCTTTCCCGATCCTTGCTTTGATATCCTCGTCAGTTCCTCCCGTCTGTAGTTGAAACGATGCTTCCTAGTTAGTTGGGTGGGTAAAAGAGGTTGTTTCCTTCAGGTTCCTCCCATTTATGCTGGCTGATTGATGTCTGTTGTTGTTGTTCTTGTCCAGGAATCTTCAGAAATGACATAACTAATTTCAAAAATATCAACAACAAAATATATGTTACCTTTAATTCCATTGTGGTTAAATCCACAAGTCCAACAAATCGTTGTTTAGTACTCCCTTTCACATCGATCCCACGAGAATTGGAGGTATTATTCACCGAAGGCGTATTGATTTTATCAAAATTGTGTAAGAAAACTGGATAATGAAGCGGTAGATAGTGAGCTTTTGTAGGCAATTGATTCGATAGACTGCGTAAACACATATCCACATTGGCCAGTGGGCGATCCATTTTATTGATATAAACTACACATGGAAGGTTGTAACGATGAGCTTGACGGCTAGCCAAACAGAGAGAGAGAGAGAGAAAGTGTGAACAGTGGAATGTTATTTTTTCGGTTAAATAGTAAACAATTTAAATGCTTTCAGGATTTCATCATGAGCTGCTAACATTGGTTAGAGAACTATTGGAAAACCTGTCACGGGGAGTACTGGACAGCTGTTTCGTCCTATTTTTGGACTCTTCATCAGTACGCACCCACCGGGATTCGAAACCAGGACCTTCTGGATACAAGGCCAGCGAGCTCGTAGACCATTAAGCCACTGGGACCCCATCCAATGGCCAGTCCATGAATTCTAACTTCTGCCAATTCACGATATAGCGCGACTAGCACTAGCCAATGTCTTCGGTGAGTATTTGTCCTCACAGCCGACGTGCTGCACCCTACTACTGGTCACGACTTCTCACTAGAATCCACCCAGGTAACTACTACCTACCTGAATAGGGCCATTCGCCAATCAACCAAATCCCTACAAACCAATACTTGAATGCTTTCATTGTGCTAATCACAAAAAAACAACATAATTTAAACGAATGCGTGTGTTTGAGTAATTTGTCGTCAGGTTTTACAATAACAAAAATAATCGCTAGTGAAGCTCCTAAAACCTCTGCATAATGAATTGGTAATACATAGTGTAAACGGCAGTTTTGAATTTGTTGAAAAAATAAGAGATCTTATAATGTGAGGGACACGTTTATGTTATCTTTTGATGTATCCTCCTTGTTCACCAATGTACCGTTAATTAATGGAGACAGTGGATTTTATATGTGTGAGGAGATTACTACACGAAACATAGACATCGGGATTTCTGTATCCACTGTGAAGAAGGAACTTATTTTAAGATGTACAATGAATGTTCATTTCTTATTTATCAATAAGGAATATTACAGACAAATTGATGGTGTATCTATAGGTTCCCCATTAGGTCCAATCCCAGCTGATTATTTTCCTCGCTAAGTTAGAGAGAGAATGGACCACTGAAAGGAGTAATTAATGACATGGATTTCTACTGTCGATATATATCGATGATACATTTGTGGTTATGAAAGACAAGAATGATGTAATGAATATCCTTGACAAGTTCAATGATGCACATTCAGCAATAAACTTTACCATAGAGAGAAAGAAAGAAAGTAATGACAGTATCTCACTCATTCCTAGACGTCTTCATGGCAAGGAAAGAAGATGGATGGCACACTAAGAAGGAGTGTGTGTATAGGAAACCTATAACAACAGGTCAGTACCTTTTGTACCTTTCAAATATAAATGAAATTTGCAGTATAAAATGATATCATTATCATTCTATTTCACAAGTTCTCATCAGCTAAATGCACACCCCTATCTGAAATTACAATGGTTACTTTTATAGATGATAATAACATACTTTAATGTTTGAGTGCTGGTAGTAGAGAAGAGATACTATAAAATTGACGCATCCAAAATGAAAGCATTACAATTTTTAGTTAAAGTTTTCATCATTAATTTATACGCTTTCAAAGTAGAAGAGAGGGATGAGGGGTAAGACAGAAAACAGAAAAATTTAATTAACAGAACAGTGTTAGCTTGTAGCTTGTTCACATAGCAACTCAAAAAACAACAAAAGCGGTTACATTTTATGAGATTAAAATTTGTTCAGTAAGTTGAGATCACTCACTGAATTAGATGACTAATTAATGTAATCAAAATCAAAATTCAGTTACCAAGGGAGTGAGAGGTTAATCACTTACACTCTCTTTCTGTATGCATAAGTCTGGTTGGTTTAAATCGTTTGATTGCGATCGCTTCGGCAAATCGTAGTAAATTTGCTGTCTTTTGTCTATTTAGTATTTTGAACGACTTAGAAATCTCTACGAGATGCCCGGTATCAACAATATGTCTAGTAATTGCATTCTGAGAATATTTGCTTCCTTTCAGGCATAGGTTTCTTGGAATATGTTCAGAAAACCACCGGATAGAAGCTCTTCTTTCTGTCCTTCCAATGTACTTGCTCCCACAAGTGCACGTAAATTCAAAAACGCAGTTGGAGGTGACATCAGCAAGGTATTTGTCCAGTTTTGACTGGTAAGGGAATTTTGATTTTGATTACATCTAGTTCAGTGTTCTCAACTCACTGAACAAATCTTAATCTCATAAACTATAACCGCCTTTGTTTTTGTTTTTTTGGAGTTGCCATGTGAACCTACAAGCTAACACTGTTCCTGTTACTCCATGTTAGTTCGTTTATTAGATATATCACACAGTCAGTGAAACAGTATTACTATTTACTGGATGACATACTTGCGAACAAAATTTTTTTATTATTCATAATCATTTCATCAATTGTAATCACACGACTTTGAAACTTGAGTTTTATGGTTTTCTTTGTCCTCTCCTATTTGTCGTCGTCATTGGGGTAGTAGAATTTTCCAGATATCCGGCTGGACAGGTGTTGAATCATTCCTATTACACGTATTCACTCTCAGTTGATTCGATAAACAAAGCTTCCACTGTTATCAGTCTCTCCCTCCCTCCACCCTGCTCTGACATTAGATTTTGAAACTGTTATCTTATCCCATCCTATTGTATGGGATGTATGTAATAATAATATTGATGATAATAATAATAATAATAATAATAATAATAATAATAACATTAATGACGACACCAACAATAAGGAATCTAAATCATCAGTAGTAATTCCATACAAGAAAAGAACCTCGAAAACCACCTTATGCAGAATTCTTAACAAGCCGGGCAGGAATAAAAGTGGCCGGCATTCAAACCAAACACAAACTCAATTACAAACAAGCTTTATCGGTTAAAGAATCAATCCTGTGGAGCCTTTAAAACAAAACAATTTAGTTTATCTCGTACCCTGCAGCTGCAATGATTGTCAGGTCAAATACATAGGTCAAACTAGTAGAACAGGGACAGACAGTCAGACTAGCTGAACATAAATACTTAGCGAAATCTAGATTGGTTGATCCAAATAAGATAAGAAATCCACAGAATAGTTCAGCTATACCACTCACTACATGCAATCACACACAACCATACAATACGATGATGGGATAGGATGACAGTTTTAAAATCTAATACAACTAACCCGGTGATGACTGAGGAAGATTGATAACAGAAGCTTTGTTTATCGAATCGACTGAGAGAGAATACGTGTAATAGGAATGATTCAACACCTGTCCACACAGATATCTGGAAAATTCTACTATCCCAATGACGACGACAAATAGGAGAGGACAATGAAAACTATAAAATTCAAGTTTCGAAGTCGTGTGATTACAATTGATGTGATTATGAACAATACATTTTGTTCGAAACGTCATCCAGTAAATAATACTGTTTCACTGTGTGATATACCTAATAAACAAACTCATATGGAATTACTTACTATCACAGTGTCCAAGTTTTACACATTTATTAATATGAATGTTTCTGTTAATCAATTCTTTCTGTTTTCTGTCTTACCCCTACCCCGACCTCTTTTCACCTTTAAAAGTGTATAAATTGTTGATGAAAACTTAAACTAAAAATTGTAATGATTTCTTTCCTTTTTGGATGCATCAATTTTATCTCTTCTCTACTACCCCTCAAACATTAAAGTGTATTATTATCATTTTGATATATAGTCACATGATTTCTGCCTTTGTTTTGACAGTCTGATATATTTTACTACATGTTTATTGATCGATATTCCATTATAACTCACAATATATCGATCTTGTCTGTCCATCAACTAAATAAACAAAATGTATGACCTTCTTGTCACATGACATTACAACCAATCAGAATCCAGTTGGTGGTGGTAAGGAAAACCACTACTGTCTACCGTATGATTGGTTCATATGTTTATTAGCCATTTTCCAATATTCAAGTATTGGTTTGTAGGGATCTGGTCGATTGGTTACAGGATTTCATCATGAGCTGACATTGGTTAAAGAACCATTGGAAAACCTGTCACTGGGAGTATTGGGCAGCTGTTTCGGTGACTCTAAACTTTAGGAACCCAAACGAGCGAACGGACAAATGACCTTGACAAGGACAATCTTAACCAATCAGAAGGCTTAAAATGAACGGCGCATAATTTTAATAAATCATTTATATACAAGTAAAGCAATGTTAAAAAATAGTTACAAAGGATAGCGTTCTCGTATATGTTGCAAAAAAAGTCCCACTTAGACATAGGAGTCTTTAAAGTCATGCTAAACCAAGTCCTATACATAAACTCGTCGAGATAACTGTAAATCATTGGATTTCTTGATCCGTTCACCGGTCTTATCCGTTTTTTGGGATGACTCCAGAAACTTTCAATGGAATTAGTATGAGTTCCATTGAAAGGTTTTATAAATCCGGTTGTATGGTTGACAACCTCATGAATATAGCCGAGATTTGATAATTGGCTGTAACTACTCCACTCATCCGTATGTATTGTTGTTCCCGGTAGCACTAAACGTTGGATAATGGATTTTCTGCATCTGCACTCCCTGCAACGGTAAACATAACCGTCGATGCATTTCGTGTATCTTTGTATATGCATAACACCTCCGCACTGGCAACTTTTCGATCTCGCTATCAGCCCGTTCTCTAAACAGTAATCGAAAACAAACTCTGGAGCGAATTTGCATCGCAAACGATGTACAGCATCCATTGCGAGTCAGATGATTGCCTGCTCAAGGTCATTCATCAAGGTCATCCGTTATCAAGGTTGTTTTGGGTTCCTAAAGTTTAGAGTCACCGCTGTTTCGTCATCCTAGTTCGGGACTCTTCAGCAGTACGCACCCATCGGGGTTCGAACCCAGGACCTTCTGGTTACAAGGCGAGCCAGCTCGTCGACCATTAAGCCACTGGCGCCCGATCCAATGGCCAGCCCATGAATTCTAACTTCTGCCAATTCACGATATAGCTCAACCGCTAACCAGAAGGTATTGGGTTCGAACCCCGGTGGGTGCGTACTGATGAAGAGTCCCAAACTAGGACGAAACAGCTGTCCAGTACTCCCAGTGACG